GATCAAGTTATGCCTGTGCAACCATACCACTGTACTAGCAAGTTGTCAGTCGCCAGTTTACTCCTCACTGTCATCTAAGCAGTCATTTCTCTCCCTCCGTTTCCTTCCTTTGCTTTCGTTTAAGTTACTCTGTTTTGTTTTGTTTTTACCAGACCTCCCTTAAATTCCTGGATTTGAGAAGTTATCTTAAGACCTGTGAAAGAAAATGGAACTGGCACCTTTGTTTTGGTCTTAGCGCTACCAAAATCATCTCTGTGATGATGAATTCTCTGCTTCTTTAGGATCTTGGTTCCTACATCTGTAAAATGAGAAAGCTGAAGCTGATTATTGATAAGGGGCCTCCCAGCTATGATTCTTTCTTCTGCCTTTTCTTTCTCTGGTCCTGTATATCCAGTTGCTTCCAGGTCTTTGTTTACTTGAGGGCCCCACCGGTGCTTGAGATTTGTTATCAGATCCACCTCTTAAATGAAGGCTTCTGTAGTTTGTTCAGCCCCACTACCAGCATCAAGGAATTTTAAAGAGTGGGTTACTAGAAAGCAGTCCCAGGAGAAGGCAAGGCAGCACAGCAGGTGAAAGTCCTATGTTTAAATGCCAGGAATGCAGCTAGTTGGGAAACTTGCCCCTTTGTAACATTCCCTTGCCATTTCTTTTGTAATTATTCTTTAACCAGACAAATGTTTGACGTTTTTATTTGCTTGTTTTGTGTTGCCTTTTGTGTGTATGTATGGTGCATGTGCAGGCACTTTTTCTTGGGATGTGAAAAGTGGGAAGGTTGAAAAGGAGGGAGAAACCACAGAACATTTTTTACCAGGAACCATGCTGTCTCTAGAAAATTCTAAGATTTTCTTAGGAAGGTTGTAACTCTCTCCCCTGCCCACAAGTGTACTATTTGCAATTTTGTTAGGGCAATCCCAGCTCCACTTCTCTCTTCAGGTTCTGCTCTACAGCATATTCCTGAGCCCTCCTTCCATTGCTAATGTAAGTCCTCCTAGTGTTGATCACCAATTACATTTAAGCTCCTTAGACTTCATTAAATGTTATTCTTTAAAATACATATTTAGGGCCTCCCTGGTGGCGCAGGCAATTGAACACCGCACTGTGAAGCTGTCTGCAGCCTCTGCTGCGTGGGTTCAATCCCAGCCAATCGGGGAGATACCCACATGGCACAGCAGACCTCTCCTGACTCGCCTGCTGCTCCCTCAGCAGTGTATTTCGGTCAGTCTGCCTGTTCTGTTCCCCACTCTGTCTCTGATAAATCCTTTCACCCTCCTGCCCATCTGGCCTGTACCCCAGTTCTTGTATAAATAAATAAATCTTTAAAAAATAATAAAATATATATTTAAATTAGGCTCATGTGCAAAATAGGAAAATACCAAGTCAGTTTCCTGGTGTTGTAGAATATACAGTAATGTCTTCTATTACACATTTTAAGTACACTAAAAATAAGGTGGCTTTTCACGTACAGGTCTGTTTAGTTGCTGAGATAAAAAATCTAAAATGTAATCCTTTATAAAGGATTATAAAGTCATTGGGCCTAACTTACTTTCTGTGCTCATTGTGATTGCTATGACTTGTTGAAGTTGATCCCAACTTGCAAAATTGTCATGCATACTTTGGCAAAGTGGTTTTTGCAAGGATTGAAAACATGTGGTCATTAAAAGCTGTTTCACAAAATATATTGTTACTACTATGAAAAATAGTAATGTTTAAATGTTATATCCACTCTAGATAAGCTTAATTAGAAGCAGGATATTTTTTAAGCTATCTTGGTCTATGTCTAAGTGTATTTTAAATTGAAATGGATCTTTGAACAGCTGTACGTTTGTGGAACCAGTTGTCCTTGGGGTTGTTAGTTTGCTACTAGAGCCATTTCCAAAACCTATCACTGTGGTAAGGAAGGTGACACCTGTTAACCAAAGATAAGCAGATAATTCCATTAAGCCCCCCGTTTTACTTCAACTTCCTAGTTGCTACTGTTCTCACATCTTCCAAAAAGCAAAGATGATGAAATTGCAACATCTCTTCATTTTTCTAATACGCAAGATTAAAAGTTGCCCTTTGCTGATTCCTTGTTTTACGGGTGGAGAACACATTGATTTTCCTGCTTTCCTAGGACTGTTCAGATGTCTGGATGGCAAGTCTTCTGAGAAGCAAAGGACTATCTGTAATTTATGTTTAGCAAAATAGCGGTTGTAGTAGAAATGTGTGTTTGTGGAATGCAGCAGAAAGGGAATTGAATCACTTGGAGGAATCCTTTAAGGCACACCTTAGGGGGAAAAAAAATATATATATATATATATAGTGTAATGAAGTCTTTCGTACATTTCAAAGTCCACTGGAAAGTACTGGTTTTTCCCCATCTTAAACCTGTAACGCTTAGTGATCAAGGTCTCTGGACCCACCTACAGTAATATAATAAGTTGGTGCTGTTTAAGTAAGATGTAAATCACGGACTGCGTTGTCCAGCGGCATCCCAGGTGGGCCTGGCAGGGAGGACTCTGCAGAGCAGACTTTCACCAGGTGGCTCCGCCTCAACAGGGACCAGGGACCTTTGCTTTGAAACCCACCAGAAAAAAATACACCATACATTGTTATGATGAAACTGACCGGGAGGGCTTGGCGGTAAGGTCGAAAAACCAAGATAAATTGTAGCCAGCGCTGCAGGTAGAACCGGTGCTGGCGCGGCGGCCGCGCGGGCGGGGCGGCCGCGGCACCTGCGAGGAGCGCGGTGGGTGGGCGTGGCCGGCGGGCGGGCGGGGGCGGGGCGGGGCGGGGGCGGGGCCGGCCGGCGGCGCCGGCGGTTGAAAGGGGGTGGAGTTGCCCTTGGAGGCGGCACCGGCCCAGGGCCCCGAGGCCCGACGCGCCCTATCGGGCCCGAGCCCAGTGGCCCCGCGGAGCCGGCGCGCTCCCGCCTGCAGGGGGAGGGCGGACAGGGCGCGGGGACCGGCCAGGCCGCGGCGGGCGCTGTTTCTCTTTCACTTTCCTTCGCTGGGAGGCCGGCGCGCTGGCGGGCGAGGAGCGGCGGCGGCCGCAGCCGCGGGTAGGTACCGGGAGGTCCTCGCGCCCCGGGGGCCGGGCCCGGCCGCGCCCCGCTCCGAGCCCAAGTTCGCGCCGGGAGCGGGAGCGGCACCCCCGGGCACCTGCCGCGGCCGGGGCCGAGCGCCCGGGGCCGGCCGGCGGGGCTGGGACTGGGGCGCGGAGCCCTCGGCGGGGCGGCGGGCGCGGGCCCCGGGGAGGCGGCGCGCTCCGGCGCCCCCCGGCGCTCCCCGGCGCTGCCCGGCCTGAGCGGCGAGTGCCGGCCGGGCCGCGCACCTGCGGGCGGGCGGGGCGCTCTGGCGCAGGGACCGCCCAGGGCCGGGCCGCCGGGTCCCGCGGGCGGACGCGGAAAAGTTCCCTCCCGCCGCCGCCCGCCCCCCCACCCGCCCGCGCGCGCCTCCCGGGCCCCCGGCGCCGGGCTCCGCGGCCGGCTCCCTCCACCCCGCCAGGTCCGCCCGGGGTGTGCGCTCTCCGAGGACTTTGTCTTCCTCTGGAGTTGCAGGGCAAACCTGCGGGGAAGGCAGGGCTCCTAACTCCGGCGGATGCAGGATTAAGCCGAGGCCCCTGCACGGGTATTCCATGCCTTGCGGTCACGCCGGCTGAGGCCCCGAACCCCCACCCGCTGTTTGTGTTTGCGACCGCCTTCTGCTGCTCGCCCTGCGCGAATTCCGAGCCATGCCTAGGAGGGTTGCACCCGGCACTGACTCTGTGCGCCTTCTCAGTGACAGACAGTGTCGTACTGCTTGGTGCTTGCCTGTGAGTTAACAGCTATGATAGGAGAAAAGTTCCTGTTCATGGGGTGCACTTAGGATTCAGCACCTTCTCTCATGCTGTATTTTCTAAGAGGACGTATTTGTAGATAAGAACCCTTTAAAAAAATTTTTTTAAGGGTTATCTACAAGCTAACCTTTTCTAAATATTTTTGGGGAAAACGTAATGACGTTCAGTTTCTGCAGTGTGCCACCATTGTGTGTATGCTCTCATTTAATTCTCACCATACTGTGAGGCTGGTACTTTTATTTTCATTTTAGGGCTAAGAAACAGTGGGAAGAGGATAACTAACATTGCCCATTTCACCCATCTACTAAAAGTTACCTGTTGCTGTCAAAGATTTTGAGGTCTAATAGAAGAGTTAGTGAGTAACTATAAATCAGAGGAAAAGGAAACTGTATCAGGGGACAAGAAAGGGTTAAAAACCATTGTAAAGATTACACTGAGGATAGCCCTGGAGAAGGATGTAGAAGTATAGGTAGGATCTAGACTGAGAAGCTGAGAAGCGGGAGGGCTTGTTGGATAGAGGACTAGAGAAGACTGCAGGAGAGAGCTACTTTCCCTTGGCAGGAAGGGAAGAGTTAAAGATGTCAAGGCCAGCCTGTGGAGGGTCTCATGTGACAGGCTGAGAAAATCAAACATTTTTCTGTTTTTAAGGAGGAGACACTGACATTCTTTTAGAAGAGAACCCCAAAGTCATAGAATAAAGTAAATCTGTTAGCAGAACGTAAGATGGATTGCAGGTGGGAAGGCAATATACAAGTAGTGTGGCAGTGGGTGAAATGGAAAAAGACATCAAACTTGATCTGACTAGATGTGGGGTACAAAGTAGAGAAAAGGAGTGCGTTGATAGGACAGATAATGACTTCACTTTTTGAATCTCTCAACTTGTATTTGGCAGGAACTCCTAATAGCAGTCAAGCAGATAGTTAAAATGCATTCCTGAAGATGATGTCAAAACAGGTAGATAGCCTTCTGTGCCATTTGTATAGAGGTGATAGTTGAAGCACCAGATTTGGATGAACTTGTTGTTACTCTGAATTAAATTCTAGGTTTACAAAGTTAATATTACAGTGAGGGAAATGTTCTGTTCATCTGTTCACCCAATTTGGAATGTAACATACTAATATAATGATATTTATACAGTATGAGGAATTTAACACTTTATCTATTTTAAATGATCATGGAAACAGATATGGGAAAACAGATCAACCAAAAGGAGTGATGACCATCAATCTCGTGATAAATCCGGATGATAGTTCCCATGCCTCAGGACGTCCAGTTGGGTACTTCACACCAACTCCTGGGATCAGACTTTCATCCACTTAATACCCCTCTTTGCCTGTACTGCTAAAGCCTTCCTAGCTCATCACGAATGGCTACTCAAAGGAAACACTTGGTGAAAGATTTCAATCCTTACATCACCTGCTATATCTGCAAAGGGTATCTTATCAAGCCAACCACAGTGACAGAATGCCTCCACACCTGTAAGTATTCTTTTATGTCATCTATCAGAAATTATCGATAATACTTGTTCTTTTTTAAACCACCACATTTTGGTTTTTACTAGATTTTAACTTTTAAAAACAATGCATATTCTAGAAATTATCTTGACTTTGAATTTATTGTCATTGGGCTATTAGTGGCATGGAAATTTTCTTCTGTTAAATCATGATCGTTGACTTATCTGTTCTAAAATGTTCTGAAAATCATAAGCATGTTTGTCGGTCGTGTTTTTTAAAAATATATTTTAGTTTTTATTTTTAAAAATTACACTGAAGGAATTAATCTGCTCAGAGGTTTTGTTAGATGAGGATATGCATAATTGTTTTTTATCAAGAAATCACTTTATTAAGGTATGATTGACATAGAAAAAGCTGTACTATTTAAATGTATTCAGTTTTTTGAGTTTGGAAGTATACACCTGTAAATCCATGGCCACAACTCTGCCATAAGTGTCATTCATCCCCAAAAAATTTCCTCCCACCTTCTCATTTGTTACTTGTGTGATGAGAATACTTAATGTAAATCTACCTTCTATGTGGTAGAGTAGAGCTGTGGGACCCATTCATTTTATGCAACTGAAACTTTGTACTCTTTGTACAGCATTGGCATCACCTGAAACTTGTTACAAATGCAAATCATCAGGCCCTACCCCAGAACTGCTGAATTAGAAACTAGGGGTGGGCCCAGCAATCTGTGTTTAACAAGCTCTCCAGGTAGTTCTAAAGCATGCTCAAGTTTGAGAATCACTGTTGTAATATTGTGTCTATGGAAATCCTAAAATGTTTCTTATCTGTCCCATCAGAAGAAAAAACATTTTCTAGCATTTATACCAGGATTTCACATGCTTTTGTGTTTTAGCCTGTATGAATTTATTTTCCTATTTCAGTGAAAGTGATTCTAGTAATTAATGCCTGTTACATGCACCAAAGTGGTTATTTTATATACTTTATTTCCCAGCTTTACAGTAGTCTTGAAGTAGTTTGGAGTGGTTGTGGGGAGAGAGAGGGTTTAAGATTGTTTTCATTTTGTGGGAACTAATAGTTAAGTAACTTCTCCAGTCTCACAGCTAATGAGTTAGTTACCTGTATTCAGTTCTAAAGCTCATGCCCTTTCTAAGATAATATGGTGTCTTTTTTTTAATGCTGCCTTCCAGTTCTTCTCCTTTTGTTGAACTGACATAATTTTATTCCAGTAGTTTTAAACAGGGTACACAATAGAATCACCTGGAAATGGGTAAAATGGCAAATTTTTTGTTATGTGTATTTCACCACAAAAAATAGAATCACCTAGAAAGCTATTTAAACATACCCAATGTTAAGAACTCCAGCTTGAGAGATTTGGTGGATCCTTTGATGGGCTTCTGTATTTTCAAAAATCTCTTCAAGTGATGTTGGATATTAACTGACTTGCGCTATTTAGTCAGCAAAACTGTGAACTTCCTTGTAGTATTAACTTACTGTTGCCTGGTGTGGTTATTTAACTTGGACAATTATCAGTTAAATGTCATTGAACAGATATGTATTGAATACTGACTATGTCTGGCACCATTCTAGGCACAAAGGATACTGCAGTGACCAAGGGAGTAAAAAAATCTCAACTCTCAATAAGTTTATATTCTGGTAGTGGAAATTAATAATACTAACTATGTTGGGTAATAATAAATGCCACTATGAAGAGTAGTAAAGAATGGTAGATGAGAGAGGTGGGGTCTGAGTCAGCCTCAATGTGCTGATATTTGAACAAAAACTTGAGGAGATTAAACTCTGTGGATATATGAGAAAAGCATGCTGGCCAGAGGTATAAGCCAGCACAAGGCCTTGAGGAGGAGATGTGCTTGTCAGATTTTGGGAATAACAAATCATTTAGAAGCCTATTCCTGCAGGTCAACGGAAAGATTATGGGCCCACAGCAGGGTAATGGGATGTGAGACAAGGCTAGGAGGAGTGTGACTAATTGTGGATGTTGATTGGAGGTAGAACCAATAGGATGTGGCTACTCTAGAGTGGGGACCTTATCTTCTATTTCCATCTTTCCCACTATTCTAAACATAATACCTGGATATAGTTCACACTGTTTTTATTTTGCATTGTTTATATATTTGGGTTTCTCCAGCAAAATACTGCCATATCTGGAAGATGTGATGAAAGCACAGATTCTCCAATTTCTATTTGTATACTGTAGGTTTTATACCTTCTGAAACAACAGTTTCTTTGAGGTATAATCCCAAATTAGATGTTACTTTTTGGAGGAAAATTGAAAGATTCTAGAACTATAAAAATTTCTGTTTATAGGTCTGAGACAACAGGCATGTAGGCAATGTCCGTTAGGAATTAAGAATTTTTAAAAACATTTTTAGAATATAGGAAAGAGACTTGTAGGTCTTAGATTGGGAGAGAGAGAGGAAGACATGCTCTGCTGGGACTATAAATTAAGGGATGTTCTAACTCTTACATCAGAGTCCTGGAAAATTTTTTGAAGTTGCTTACAGTATATTTGCTGGTGTTTTGTATAGGTTTTTGACTTGAAATGAAAGATTTTTCACTAATTTAAGAACAAAGGACCGTTGTTCCAGCAGCTAAAATGTAAAGAATACAGTACATTTGTTCTTTACTCTTTTGTGGTTAGAAGCCACTTAAAGAATCTAATGATTCTTTCCTCAGAAAAAAGCCGAGTTTATGGACATATAAGACAGGAAAGCTTTCTTCTCCCTCCCCATTTGGAGATAAGTCAGTAATCGCTTAACTAAGAATGAATTCTTTGGAAGAGCACATTCTTGTACTTAACATTTAACTATACAGAGAAAGGGCTAGCTGATAGTTTAATGTTTTCGATGTGATGGTTAAGGGACTTGGTGATTTTATGTGGTAATCTGTCAGAGTGAAGGAAAAACTTGTTCAAAAACAAATTTTACCATGTTATAACTAAGTATAAATATAAGTTAAGATACAGAGAACACTTGATGTATTGATGCTCAATATTTTAAAAGTCATTGTGACATACACTTGTTATTCAAGTGTTATTCAAAATGCAGTCTGTAGACTACCAGCATCTACAACAATACCGTCTAGGAACTTGTTAGAAGTTCAGGTTATTTGACTTTGCCATAGACCTATTGAATCAGAATCTCTGTGGAGGAGGCCTGAAGTCTCTGTACTAACAAGCTCTTTAGGTGATTATTTGGTGCATTAAAATTTGAGAAGCACTGCTGTGGACTAGATATTTTAATACTAACATCTTTTGGATAATTTGTACTTTCAACCATACAGTCATTAAAATAACTGCTAATATAAGTTTAAAATAATAGTTGTTATTCATTGAATGTCATATTTGGGGCCCTGATCTTAACACTTGTTGTCTTCCAAAGAATCCTTCTAGTTTTGTAATATTTTTTAATCATTCAACAAATGTTTATTAGTACTTCCATTGTGCCAGTCATTGGTAGGAATAGTCTGTGCATTCCTAGAATTTATGTTCTAATAGGAAAGACAGACAGTAAGCAACTGATATAATTTCAGATTCTGTATATAATAAATGCTATAAGGAAAAATAAAATAGAATAGTCTTTTAAGAAGTTACCATTTGAGCAGAGACCAAAATAACAGGAAGGGGTATGTTATGAGAGAATGTTTGAAGCATGAGAACTTGAGATTCTTATTCATATTTTCTCAGAAATAAGACTCAGAAAAGGTCAAGTAACATAGCTAACATGCTAGAGGTAGGTTCTGATTCCTGAATATCTGACCCAGGCACAGGAGGTCCTGGATAATCTTATGGAACTGTTTCAGCGGAGTGAGTGATAAGGAGTAAAAGTCTGGACAGGTGTGACAGGATAGAAATGTCTTTATTTCCTGGTGATCATTGTACTTTATGTAATTATTTCACTTTACAAAGGGTAAAAGATGAGAAGAAATAAATTAAAGAGAGTATGTGTAGAGAAGTCTAAAATGGAAAAATAGCTGACAGTAGGGCAATAGGAGCAACAGCAATTTGGGTATTTTTGTCACGGGGTAACATGTTGGAATATTAGTGAGACTGGTAAATAGCAAAAAATGAGTGTAGTCCTGGAGCAAGGGGATCTAGTGCACAGAATAGAGATTGACTTCAGATAGGTACTCAGAAGTTCTGAAAACATGCAAGAGTACAAAATATGGGTGCTAGCTAGGGGGTAGGTGTGGCAGTATAAATTCACTGAAGAATGAGTGTTTGGGTGAGGGTGTGTTTGGGGGGTTTTGAGGAGAGAGGAGAAGGATGAAGTATTGGTGAGACGCATATAATGAACTTGGGGCTTTGAGTATGACTCCCTAGCAGATGAAAGACCCACTTGCCATGGATTTAAGTTAAGAGATCTATCAGCATGGTGCACATTTTCCTCCCACAATGTTCAGCTGAGGAAGCAGAATATATCGAGTTGGATTTAGCCAGAATTAATAGTTTAACTGAGCAAGTATGAAGCAAGAAGACAGAGAGAGAGAGCAAAGTAACTCCTGGACCCAGTGAGGTGATGCTGAAATTGTAGTAAATGTACAAAATTAAGAAGGGAACTTGTAATACAAAAATGTTACTCAATCTTGGACCCTCCACCCCAGAAAAAGAACTATCAAATGTGAAAAGATAGGCAGTTCCCATTTAGATGAAGTAGTGTATGTAAATATACTTGAATTGCAAGGCTATCTGTAAGGTAGACATGGTTACAGAGAATTAATACCACCAATAATGGACATTTCAAGTTCCATTAGCAAGGTGATCTGTTTTTTAAAAATGGTTGTATCAAACTAATCATAGTCTGATGTCATTCAATACTTGATTACTGTGATTTTCCTTGTGATTTAATGCTTATCCAGTGATCTGATTTATAGTGATAGCTCACATTTATTGAATATTTACAATTATCAGACACTTAGTTATACATTTTGCATGTTATCTCATTTAATCCTCATAAGAACCATGTGAGATAAGTACTCTTATCTCCCTTGAACCATAAAATCATTTTGCCTAATGGAATACCTAGGATTCAGATTTAGGCAGTCTGCCTCAAGGTTATCTTTTGTCTTGAACAACTATGTTGTTTTATCTTGGCTTTTCATGTATATCTGCATTATAGGAAAAGTATGCTAACCTCAAACTATTTTGATTATGTTTTATCCTATGACAGTGATGTCCTAATGGTGAATAATAAAGTGACTTCTTATAATTTGGCAGAGGGCCAAACCTAGATTGGGGCAACCTAACAGAAGTACTGACCAGTAAGGATTTTGTGGCCAGCTCCTGGCCTCTGTTGCCTGATTTCCTAGTAATCTTTTGACTGCATCAGTGAGAGAGCTTTGCAAAGTTAATAGTCTTGGTGCTAATCTCCTACAGATTCAGCATTTCCTCTCCTAAATATCTAGAATACAGAGAATACAAAAACACTAATTTAAAGGAATATGTGCATGGCTATGTTTGTTGCAACACTATTTACAATAGCTAAGTTATGGAAACAACCCAAGTGCCCACACAGGTGAATGGGTAAAGATGTGGTATAGCCGCATGATGTACTAGCCTGCTATAAAATAAAGATGAAATCTTGCCATTTATGACATGGATGGATGATATTGAAGGGATTATGCTAAATGAAATAAGTTAGATGGAGAAAGACAAAAAAACTAGATGATTTCACTTATACGGAATATAAAGAAACAAAGCAAGGGGACAGCAAAACCAAACCAAACAAACCCTTGCAGTCTAACTGTAGAACTGGGGCTACCAAAAGGGGAGGATGGAGGGTGAGCAGCAAAGGGGGTAGGAGGCCCAATGGATTATGGTGGAGGTAATTTTGGTGCTTTGGTGGTAGATGTGGTATAATTAAATACATTTAAGTAATTTTGAACTTGCAACCCTAAAACATATACGGTGTTTTAAACCGAAATTACTGCAATAAAAATAATTTAAAAAGAGAATAGAGCCCATGAATCTTTTTTAAAAATCTCATTGGTGATTGTGTTCCCTATCTAAATTTGAGAATCCCTGCTTTCGATAGCACAATAACTATTTTCTTATAATAACCTAGCTCAAGTCTAGGAAATGGTAAAAGGATTTTACTTGGTCAGCTTTAAGGCAGAAGTTTGTGTTTGTGATTAAATATAAAGATCAGTTATAAATATGAAATCTTGAGGGCCTCCCTGGTGGTGCAGCAGTTGAGAGCTGGGTTGCGAGGCTGCCTGCAGCCTCTGCAGCGCCGGTTCGATCCCCGGCTACTGGGCGAGGGTCCCACTTGGCGCGCAGACCTCTCCTGCCGCCCGCTGCTCCCCTCAGCAGTGTACTTCGGTCCTTCTGCCTGTTCTGCTCCCTGCTCTGGCTCTGGTGAATTCGCTCACCCACCCGCGCTTCTGACTGTGCCCAGTGCTTATATAAATAAATAAATAAATCTTTTAAAAAGAAAAAAAACCTCACTAAATGTGAAATCTTGATGTGAGAGACCATATGTCACTGGGTTTTAAGATGCTTTGTGTAGTGGTTTGGATTTTAGTCCTGGAGCTTCACAGAGATGGAAGCCCTCTTTGCTGCACAGTTAAGGGCTGCCTACCCCTGCACTACCTCTACCTTTATTTTTGCCAGGGGGTAGTAACAGTCCATGTTATAATCCTGACAGAGCCCTCATATTTGGTAATGCTCCCTAAATGTTAGTACTTGTTGCTATTTAAGTTTTTTTCCAACTGGAATATATGTAGTGATCCTAACATCCTCTTTGATCCAAGTGTTTTGCATCTGTCTATAGAGTGGTTGGTGAGAATAGACTACTTCGTCTCCATCCCCAGGCCTAACTGCACACCGGGATCTTTTTAACGTTCTTGAATGAGTTAACTAGTATAGCTTTTAAACAGAGAGCTTGGCATTAAATGTTTAAGATACTTTAAAAAGTGTGTTTTATAGTAAATATAAACCAAATCATAACTTTTGTAGTGACAAAAAGCTTTCTGAGCATCTACGAGTAAAAAAATCATTTCACTTTTTTCAGTTTTACTGACCTTCTAACCTGAACTTATTCAAGTTCAAATATATATATATATGGTTGTGCCTCATTAAATAGCTTTTTTAATCATGTGGGAGATGTATTTTCTAGAGGTTTTTTTTTTTTTTTTAGAAATAAATAAGTCGCTTAAAAGGACTATTTTGTACAAAATATTTTAAAAGGAGATTCTATAAAATACTGATATTTATATGATTCTATAAATACTGATATATTTAAGCCTCCCAAATCAAGGGGAATGTCATTCTTCTTCATTATGTGTGTGTGTGTGTGTGTGTGTGTGTGTGTGTGTGTGTGTGTATGTGGGGCAGGGAACATGGACCCTCCCCTTTTTAATGGAAGTCACACTAACAATATTAAAAAAAAAAAACAAAAAACGAAATTAATATATTAACCCAGAATAAAAAAAATACTATAATTTCCATGTGTAATATAAAACAGTATTAATGAGATGACTTTTTCATGCTGTTTTTGAAATCTGGTGTATATTTTATATTTACAACACATCTCAGCTTAAATTGGGGACATTTTGAGTGCTCAGGAGTCATATTTTACTAATAGTTACCATATTGAACTCATTGCGTGTAGAACATAGATTGTAACTTCTCATCAGGACCTTGGGCACCAGTGCTGTCTTGAAACTACATCTTTGATGGATGAGCTTTGTATTTCTTTCTTCACCAAGACTTATATCTTTGCCCTTGTTTAGGGTCCTACCTACCCTTAGTATTTTCCTGAGCTAGGTGAGGATGTGCTCCAAGCATATCATGTGCCTCTCTGTTTGGCCAAGGTTGGCAGACAAGTAGGAATGCCTGAGCCCCTTTTGAACTGCAAGGATCAGGGCTCCAGGGCAAGGTCAGAGTCTTAGGACAGGATCAGCATTTGTAATACCCCTTCATTCTTGCTCTTCTCTCCTCTTTTGCCTTCCCCACATTTCAGAGGCTTATTTAGTATCCCTGAGGAAAGAGCAAATACCAGCAGTCTTCTAATGGAATTCGGTTTCTTTGTTCTCCACTTCAGTTTGGTTTAACAAGGCATCACTCTCTTTCCAAACATTATTTTGGACTATCCCTCTGGATCTGGTCCAAACATTATTTTGATCTTTAAAAAGACATTTGGAGCCTTTTCGGGGCCAAGAAATTGTATGTATATGTATGTTTTTAAGTTTTCTGATACTATCTTTCATCCAAATTTTGGAAAAATTACAGTAACTAGTTAACCCTAATAGCTGTGTAATGGTAAGAAAGAGGTAGAAAGTGTGGCACTCATTCAAAAAACACCTGATCACTCTGTCTAAAAGAGCTGGCAGCTCCCAGCACACAACTCTCCACTTTTTTGTGTTTTTTAATTATCTCTACTCTCTAAAATTGTTTGTTTGCCTTTCCAAATAGAGTATACATTCCATATGGGTGTGGACTTTGTTCACCCCTGTATCCCCACCTCCTAGTTGCTTTATGTAAATACATCAGCTTATATGAATAAACTGTGGTTTGTGAATATATCTAAGAAAAAACAGTAAACAAAATAGTATACACTTTTCATTTTGTGGCAGTAGGTTTGAGTTAGGTTTTTTTTGACTTATAATTTTAAGATTTTATAAAGTGTGATTAAAAACAGTACTCTACCTGTAGTAATTTTATTTCTAATTGCATTTTGTTTAAATGATAGTTCAATTAACCCTACATCTTTCTTCTTAGTCTGTAAGACTTGTATTGTACAGCACTTTGAAGATAGCAATGACTGTCCAAGGTGTGGCAACCAAGTGCATGAGACAAATCCATTAGAAATGCTGAGGTAAGTGAAAATATTTAATAGTTCAACTAATTCAAGTAAATTATATAAGCTATTAATAATTTTTATTACACATCATAATACTTGTTGGCACCTTTACTCAGTTAACACAGGTTTAATGAATTTTATGATTTTCATTTTAAGGCAATATGAGAGGAATTAAATAGGAAATACATTTCCAAAGTAAAGGTGGTAGCTTTAGCTCAGACTCACAGAATTACTTGTAGTTATTTTCAGTGTTAATATTCTACTGTACTTTTTACTGAGCTACTGTGCGTTTTATTGAGCTACGTGGTAGTGGGAAGAGGGCAGACCTAGTAAAAAGACTAATCTTTTTTAATTTATCATATATTTGAAAAAGTTTGTACATTTGGGGCCTCCCTGGTGGCGCAGTGGTTGAGAGCTGGGTTGCGAGGCTGCCCGCAGCCTCTGCAGCGCTGGTTCGATCCCTGGCCACCAGGCGAGGGTCCCACATGGCGCGCAGATCTCTCCTGCCACCCACTGCTCCCTTCAGCAGTGTATCATCAGTCTGCCTGTACCGTTCTCTGCTCTGGCTCTGGTGATTTCTCTCACCCTCCCGTGCTTCTGACTGTTCCCAGTGCTTGTATAAATAAATAAATCTTTAAAAAAAAAAAAGTTTGTATATTCAGTAAAACTTCAGGAATGGTTTTAAATAACTGGCATTTACTTAAGAAGTATCATTTATTTTTAAAACTGGAGATGGCCTATCAGATCCTAATCCAAACCCATATTTCCAAATTAGAAAATTGAAATTTATAGAAATGACATGATTTGCCTAAAGTCTCAGTAAACTCTCTTTTTTTGTTTTTAAAGATTTATTTTTATTTATTTATACAAGCACTAGGTACAGTCAGAAGCGCGGGAGGGTGAGAGAATTCACCAGAGCCAGAACAGGGAGCAGAGCAGGCAGAAGGACTGAAGTACACTGCTGAGGGGAGCAGTGGGCGGCAGGAGAGGTCTGCACAATATGCAGGACCCTCCTCCGGTGGCCGGGGAACAGCTGGGAATCCAGCCGGCACTGCAAAGGCTGCGGGCAGCTTTGGAACCCAGCGCTCAACCGCTGTGCCACCGGAGAGGCCCCTCAGTAAACTCTTGATGTCACTTCCTAGCTATAAGCCAGGCATTATATTCCCTGCCTAAGCCTCTAAACCTCTTTTCTTCTCACCGTTCCTACCATTGCTTTACTATAGCTCAACTGTGTGATTTTTAGGGAAGAGTACATCTAAAAACAGAAGCAGATACTTTCTCAATAACAGTTTTATAATACTCATGTGCATGTGATATTTGCCATCATTTTATAAATTTTGGTTTGCAAGTCTTACATTTCAGACATCCTTCATTAACTTTAATGCCTGGAGTTGAAGTAATTTGTCTGCAGGTAAATGTCTAGCCCAGTGATTTTCAATGTGTGGTCCTCAAAACATTAGTGTCTTGTTAGAAATGACAGTTCTCAGGCTCCACTTCAGAATCAGAAATTGAGAGTGAAGCTGCCCTTACTTAGCCAGTTCCCCAGGTGATTCTGACATGTGCTAACCTTTGAGAACCATTGGTCTACTTAGTTGGCAGTCTTGAGCATGACTACTTCTAAGTGGATTTACATTGGTGTTTCTTAACCAGGAGTGCTTTTGCCCCCATGTGTACCTAAATGTTGCCAGAGAGCTGGTTTTCAGGACTGGATGGGTGCTGCTGAGCATCCTACAACTCATAAGACAGCCTTTCCCAGCCTCATCCCCAAATCACCTAGCCCATAATGGAAACCCTGATTTGAATAATTCAAAGAAGAACAAACTTTCCTTCTCAAGTTTTCTCCTAATACTTTTATCAGAAATTAATAACAGTTAATAATTGTCATCTCCTTTTTAAAGTGCTGTTCGTACAGACAAACTATCTTAAATTTTGGTTTTGACTGTCTGATAACCTGAAGGAATCCAGTCACTATTTAATCAAATCTGATCCCTTGACTAAAAGTATGATATATATTTTTTAGCTTTTTATTTGGAAATAGTTTAAAACTTACCAAGTCACAAAAATAAAAGTAGTACAAGGAGCACACTTGTATTCTCTTTACCCAGATGCAGCAATTAACATCAACATTTATCATGTATATATGTACTTGCTCACCCTTTTTTTAACCATTTGAGGGTAAGTTATTTATATCATTGGTCTCTTACTCTTAAAATATTGATAATCATATATCAATAAGGATATATGATATCAAATAAAGATGTATATAAAGATATGATATCAAATAAAGATATTCATATTTCCTAAGAATAGAGATATTCTATGAGTATTGCATGATTAGATTACATCGGTATATAATACTTTATTCTCTATATTCCTATTATATCATTTTTCCTAAAGAACACTAGGAGTGACAGGCAAATCTTTACCACAGGATCCCTCCAGCTGGCTTTCTCTTACTGGCCCAACTATTAGGTAAAGTAGTAGTGTGGAGTTTTGAAATGCCTTAGCAAATCATAATTTATCCCCCAGACTGGACACATTGCTCCTGAACATAAAATGGATTAAGGCTTTTTTCAGTAGATAACTGTCTGTTACACAAATATCAACGGGTTTACTCCTGTGTACCCTTTCTCAGGCTATTGGAGGGTGTACTGAAGCGTAAATCAAGAAAGAGGAAGGGAATGTAACATGGGAGAGAGGTGAAGGAGTAGGAAGATTGTGCAGCAGGCTCCAGAACAGAGTCTGTGCAGGCGCTGTCTGTCACAGCAGCCATCAGCCGCATAGCTGCTGCACACGTGGGGTGTTGCTTGTGCTCCTGAGGAATGGAATTTCAGATTTTATTTAAATTGAAACTTGAAAGCGTATTAATATTTTCCCAGTAAATAGCAATTTCTTATCAAATAAAAATTACTATATGTGTTGCTCTATACGTTTTAATACATAAACAAGACAATTTTAAAATTAATTATACACAAAACAAAATTTTTTTGTTACCTTGCCACGGGTATATTTTGAATTATATATTTGACATTACATCCATATTGTACATCACTGATAGAATGGTAGGAGGAGGATGGAGAACTCTGAGGGGGAACCTCTCATTCAACAAATATGTACTGAGTGCCTGCGATGTTCAGGCACCATTCCAAGTGCTTGATGTCAGTTAGGGGACAAAGTTGGTAAAGATTTTTGCCCTCATAAGGTTAATATTTTTGTAGGGAGAGACATACAATAATCCATATAACAACTAACGTGGTATGTTACAAAGGGGGCGAGGAAGTGCTACAGATGAGGAGTGATCAGAAGTGGGAGGGGAGGGATAGATTGCAGTTTTAAATGGAGTGATGAGTATAGACCTCACTGAGAAGGGAGATTTGATCAAAGAATTTTAGGGAGCTAGCCATGGATAAAATTGGGGAAAGCGTGCTTATACCAGGTAGCAACCAATAGAAAGGGCCTAGGCCAGGAGTATACACACAGCTTGGAGGAACAGCAGAGAGAGAGAGGTGGATGATGAAGTTGGAGAAATTATTGGGAATCCAGGGACATTGTAGGCCACTGTGGGGGAAAAAAACTGTCATTTATTCTGTCTGAGTGAAATGGGGAGCTACTGCAAGGTTCTGATTAGAGGAGACACAATCTGACTTAGCTTTTAAATAAAACAGTCATTTTGATGTCTGTGTTGAGAATATGCAGTGCATGAGCAATGCAAGGGTAGAAGCAGGAAGAGCAATTAGAAGGTAGTCACAGTGGTCCAAGTAAGAGATGGTAAGAGTAAAAGGGGCAAAAAATGGTCATATCTTGCATATATTTTGTAGAAGGATAGCCAGTTACATTTGATGATTCTTTTTTGAGAATGTGGTAAATGAAGAAAGCAATCACTAATTCCAAGGAAAGAAAACAAAGTCGAATGAGGGGATATCTATGCTCTGATTAGACTGTATATATATTACATAATAATAACAATAAGTGCTGGTTATTAATGAGACTATGTGGAGAAGATGAGATTAGGGGGACGGTGTATGTTGGGAAGAAAGGGAATAGCAGGACAGTATCAGAAATCTGTATTTTACATAAAGAAGTCAGAAATATCCAGACAGCAGAAAAAACATGGTTCTGTTGTGTTTTATAGAAATATGAAAGAAAATACTACTAGAATAAATAGGTTGAATTTGAAAGTGGTTGTCTTCGGTTGTAGGAATAGGGAAGGTAGACCATGAGAATTGTATTTTTATGAGTTTAATTTCTATAAATCAAAATTTTTATATACATGTATTTTGATAAAAGCAAATATTAGGAAGAGAAATACTATTTTTTAAAGTACTATTATTAGTTTGTGAAAACTGTGAATGACTTAGTATTTTAAGTCTTGAACATTGATTTAGTTGGAGAGTAGAAAAAGAATATTTGAGCCAGAATGAAGAGCATGAGGAAGAAAAGCAGACTGGAGAAAATAAGGCGTTCTTAGTGATAAGTGAATAAACCAGTAGATGAAAGAAGAGAGGATCTAACAGAACAACACCAGATGTGGCTAGTAGGTTAGACTCAAGTTATATAAACTTATAGCCAGGTGGTGGGGAGAAACTAGTTCTTAAGCAAGCAAGAAATGATCAAATAAGGCTTAAGGAAGATTCATTATGATCATGTTAAATTAAAGGAAAATAACTGTATGCTGTCCTTCAAATAGCGATAATTGAAGGAATGGAAGGATGGAGGTGTGGAAAAACTAGGGAAGAAAAATTGAGAATGAAACGTCAGTGGGACTTGGTAAGAAAATAGACTATCAGAGAGTTGCAAAATTAAGATACTTCATGCATTTTGAGGTTATTTGGGAGAGATGTATCATTTCTAAATTTAATTTTATATAAAATAATGAGAGGTATTATTTTGTTGACGCTTATAGATGAGCCAGTCTTAAACAAAGGGAGATCCTTAAGATGTTGGAACTTGAGCTCAGCAGAGAAATATAGAGTGTGTTGGATAAATTATTTACTTATATGTTAATTTTAAAGTCACAAAAAAGAAAATCCATGAATATTAGAAAAATTTTAAGAAGGAAGTTTTAGACTACTCTTAAACTGCTGCAGAGCAATATAGGAGAAAAATGACTTTAAAAATACTTCTAAAAATTTCAAATCTAGTCACTTGGAAGTTATGAATGATTTCGGCAGTAGGTCCATAGGCAAAATCCACACTATATGACAGAAATAATGTAGATTATACTTTCAAAGTTCTTCTAGTTGGAAGACAGTAAATTTCTTAAAATAATTGAGTGAAAGCCATGAAGAGTTTCACTCTTATATAATAGAAAAACTGTCAAGATACCTACATTTTAAAATATTTTTCGATTCTTTTTTTTTAATCAAATTTTATTGATTCACCATTCATTTACAAAATTATTTCAGGAGCTCTGCTTCACACCTCGATATGTGTGTATGTTTCACCCATCACGTTGACCACTACTGTATCCTTTTCTCCCACCCCGTTCCCTTCCTTCAGTATCTGCCATATTTTTCACAGAAACTGAGTTATTTTTGTTCTAGAAAGGTAAAATGACTGAATGTTCTATATTTCTCAGAAGAGAGGAATGGAGATTATTTCCTATATAGGAAAGAGTGTGGTAGAAATTTTGAGAGTTGGTATATCAGCTATTGCTGCATAGCAAACCACCCCAAATGTTCATGCTTAAAATGATAGATAAGCATCTATCTTTCATTATTTTGGATGGTTCATAAATCTGGATGGCTTTGGTCTTAGATAGGGTCACTAGACTCCAGCTGGTCAGGTAGGCTATCCTGCTGATCTTGGTTGGGTCTTGTCAGATGCTGAGGGATGGACTGTCAATGGACTAGTGTAAGATGATCTCAGCAAGACAGCTTGACTTTCCTCTTCATGGGGTCTCATCCTCCAGACTTGTTCTCATGGTGGCAGGATTCTGAGAGAGAAAGAGCAAGAGCACAGACGCTTGTAATGCCTCTAAAAACTTAGGCTGTGAACTAAGCACAGTGTCACTTGTGCCACATCCTATTGGTCTAAGCATACTTCAGGGCCAACCCATATTATCAGGGAGGGAATAGAGTCGGAATCTTACTCAGTGGAGGAATTTCAAAGTTATGTTCGTAGGATATACATATGGAGAGGACTGGACACTGGACCATTTTGTAATCTGCAGTTGGAAAGGCTTAAAATAGGTAAGCACCATGTGCAGCAAAGTTTGGTACAGTAGATGTGTTTGTATGTTCTGTGCTTTATCACATTCATAAAAATGATGCAGATCTCAAATGTTATATTGGATTTTTGATGTTTTCATTGTTAGTATATTCTCTTTTTTTACCCCTTTTCAAAGGTTGGACAATACATTAGAAGAAATTATATTTAAGCTGGTCCCTGGACTGCGAGAACGTAAGTTGCTCTGTGGTCTCTTAGAGATTTCTATTAAAGATTTCATGATTGCTTCACTATTTTATACTTTTTTTTTTCTTTCAAATTAGAAGAACTTGAGCGTGAATCTGAATTTTGGAAGAAAAATAAGCCTCAGGAAAATGGACAAGGTAACTTTTCATCTGTATCTGATAATCTCTCTCAAATTGGTCAGTTTTTGGTAAATCAATCTCAAGTTCAGATTTCTCTTGCACAAAATTCATGTACCCCTTTTTTTATATTATGAACCAAGCTTTCCTTATTTATGAAACTTCTATGTGAACTATGATACTTTATATAAGTGTATGTAAATCTCGAGTCACTCCAGTTGAGAGTAATTGAAAATACAAGAAATCTGACTTTGGGAAGAGAAAAAGGAGATAAAACATGACTGCCGATCATAGCAGTATTTACTGGAAAGCTAAAGGAAACTGAAGAAAGAAATAGCTATTTTAGTTAAATAGCTTTTAACTAAATAGTGAGAGGTTCTTCTGTCTTATTTTATATATTTATCTAAATAAAAAAGAAAATGAGGGCCTCCCCGGTGGCGCGGTGGTTGAGCGCTGGGTTGCGAAGCTGCTCGCGGCCTCTGCAGCGCCGGTTCGATCCCCGGCTGCTCCCCTGCCACCGGAGGAGGGTCCCACATGGCGCGCAGACCTCTCCTGCCGCCCGCTGCTCCCCTCAGCAGTGTACTTCGGTCCTTCTGCCTGCTCTGCTCCCCGCTCTGGCTCTGGTGAATTCTCTCACCCTCCCGCGCTTCTGACTGTACCCAGTGCATGTATGGACAAAACAGACAAACAAACAAACAAATGAGTGAATAAAGCATGCCTCTATTAAAAAAAAAAAAAAAAAAAAAAAGAAAATGAGACTTGACTGAGAGCCAGGAGAAGGGGACCTTGTTTTGCATTGATAATCTGGGATGAGGTTTTCGTAGATGGAGCTCAGATGATACATATCCTGAATTTTGAAACCAATTTCTAGGTGCTCATGGGGATTTTCCCTTTACCCAGCTTTCTCTTCTGGGTCACAGAACACTCAGCAATCAATAATTTTTAATAATTTCAGCAAAGTGGCGGTAAGCATTACTGGGCAGAGAAAAGGCTTTTATTTATGTAAGTCACATATAGGGGAAAAAAGTACAACACACCTGAAGTTATAAGAAAGTAGTATCCTTTTATTATTTAATATGATTTATTTCAAGACGGGCTAAATACCAATGACATCTTTCAAGGATGTATTTGTTTTTATAGGCTCACTTGTTAGCTCGATCTTCCACCTCTGATTTTCCTCTGAGATCATTGGATTATCAATTATACATCATTAAGATGGTTGAAAATTCTTTTTAAATCTGTAAAATGGGGTTCATACTTTTATTAGTTCAACTTAACTATAAGGGCTGACTTTCTCTAGCAGGGTGGTTTGAGAATAGTTTTGAACTACTGAAATAGAGTACCAAGGATTTTTTTTTTTTAATCGGAAAAATAAAATGGACAAAGACGCTAGCCTACCAAAAAAAAAAAAAAACTGAAAAGGCTTGTTTTACCAAAGTATAAATTTCAGTTTAGACAGTAGTGCTATAATATACAGATAAGTTGCTAAGCGTCCCTACTTTTGGCTGCTGTTCAAGAAGACAGGAGCCCAGGGATCACCATAACGTAGATTTAGTCCATGACTCTCTGTAGCTTACAGATTGTGAAGAACTGCAGCCTACTTTGTGTTTATCTCTTTTTTCCATTATTCCTCCCTTTTTATTTTATAATATTTGATCTTTAGTTTGGGTGGAGAATTTGAATTTTCCTTGGTGTTTGGTTCATAGGCCACCTCTGCCAATATATCCATTCCATACAAATATGTAAAAGAATGCAGGAGAGAGAACCCACCTACCCTTTGTGATACAACTGTAAGGCTTTTAGTACAGTCACTGATGAGGAGCTAACATTACATTTTTTTCCTGGGCTTTTCTACACTAATGTTTTGTTGGCTCACTGTTTCAAGTGTCACTTTAGACATATTTTATCTGGAAGTCTTCCCTGAATCTCTGCTTCACCCCAAAGTTTGGATTTATTGCCTCTCTTATATGTCCCCCACACAATTCATTTTACCTCTTCTGTCAATTTCTTACCACACCTCTCCATCTGTCTTCTTGTCTACCTCCTCCTGTATCCTCACCACTATGAGAATGGTCACTATAGTTTCTAGTTTCAATATTCCCTCAGGCCTAGTACAAAGAATATCTAGCATAGAGACATAAAGACTTAATAAAAAGTATGCAATTCAGATTGCTTTAGTGGAATTTTTTTTTTCTAGGTCATACTTTCTTTTAATTATGCATACAAATTCTGGTGTTTCTTTATCTCAGAGAAATTGTATATGCCCAGAAACAATCTTGGATTATTTGTCTTAATTTTCTTTTAAGCTTTTTTTTTTTTTATTTTATACATTTTTTACATCATTTTTCAAAATACCGGATGATCTTACTCATAACAGGAATTTAGAAAACCTAAATAAGGGACCAGGAAAAAACCTAATTATAATAAAGTAAAAATCAAAATCAACAAGCAACTATAAACCAGACACACACTACAGTAGGGAGGAGGGAATAGGATCAAAACAAAGCAGGTGGGAATTATATGGGGTCTTTAGTGGAATTTAACTTGTAACAAAGCTACATATGTGTCAAAAGCTAACACATTCTACTCATTTAGAATATTTGAGGACTTGGTTTTTATTGGAATATATATAAATTTATATCTTGTCTGTAGTTAGTGTAGTAGTTTTTTTTTTTAGATTTTTATTTTAACATTTATCATTTTTCACATTTTTTAGACAATATTTGCTTCCCCCACCTCCTCAGATTGAGTCCCCATAGTTTCCTTCCCCAAGGCACCCGTGCACCATCACCTTAGTCACCTGTGCTCCTCCCGCCATCCCTCTCACCCCCTCCCTTCTCCTCCCCTTCAGTATGTCTCTGGTTTATAATTTGTATGTATGTCTCTGTTTTTGCTTTGTTGTGTTTTGTACTGTTATTTTTTTTACACTGATGTCTTATTTGGTTCTCCTATATTCCTGTTATAAGTGAAACCATCCGATATTTTTCTTTTTCCTTCTGGCTTATTTCACTGAGCATAATTCCTTTAGAAGGTAATTCTTTTGTGTTAATAAGTCGCTGACTTTTTAATCTTTGCATTGTTGAACTAGTTGGAACATTTTGAAGGTATTGAGTTGTTTTATCTGTTAAATACTTGTTGATTTTTGTTTCGATGATTACTGTATTGTCACTTAACTTTAAAATCAACTTAGTTACAGCTTAGTTTTCTTTAAATTATACAGATGATACTTCAAAAGTTGACAAGCCTAAAGTAGATGAAGAAGGTGATGAAAATCAAGATGATAAAGATTATCACAGAAGTGACCCACAAATTGCTATATGTCTAGATTGTTTACGAAATAACGGACAGTCAGGGGACAATGTAGTAAAGGTGAGTGGAAAAATACAGTTGTATTTTTTATTTTACAGTAAAGTAAGCCTTTGATATTTTTTGATGATTTTCCTTATGTTTCAAAATATTTGCTTTCAAAGTTTTTATTAAGATTATCAAGTACAATAAATGCCTTTGTCTTGACAGTTCCAAAGGCCAAGCATTGTTTACCCCAGGCACCTAGTTTTCGACCCCTGCAACTGAATTGTTCTGGGCCAATGCCACCACCTAGTGGCTTATGCGGAGAATTACACCTCTGTTCTCTTTCTTGCCTCCTTTTATACCTTTGTTGGGAGTTCATAAACATTGCTTCTCCAACTTGTGTGTGGCACCCAGCTCCAGTACCTTCATGTCAGGCAGGGCTATGACCCTTTTATTCATGCTCTTTACCTTTCTCCTTTATTTCACTCACAATTCAGAAAGGTATCCATGTCATAGGTTAATACATTTTATGAATAATGTAAATAATTAGTTTTGTGGTAAAATTGGATGTTGTAAGTACCTTGGAACTTTTAAAGGCCTTGAAGGCTTCTTAATATTTCCTTTAGGATCTCCATTTTCTAATCCTGCTTCCCTCTGTATCTGTCTGCTAATTAGACCTTTATGTAAAGGATCGCTGTACTACTTACAACCATTGATTTTCTTTGGTTTTAAATGGTGTTATTTAAATGTTTTCTACTTTTTAATTGACAGCAACTTTAATTTTCATTATAAATGTTCAGTACCTAAGCTCTTACATTTTTGTCATTTTGTCCTGGCAAATGTCAGCCATTGAGATTATTTCCTTGTATTCCATGTTTTATTCAAAAAGCTTATATTCAGAATCTTTTTTTTCACTTCATCTGTGTAATCTGTAAACCAGTGATTTAAAAAATTTTTATCAATATATTTAATGACCTTATATAACTCTTCAACTCAGATTACATTTTTCCTAACATTTCTTGCTTGCTGGAACATGAGCATATTGATTCAATGAATACCTTTCTACTATGTAGATATTAGGCAAGATATTAAGAAAATATTGATATTCAAAAAGCTTTGGTTATATCTGGCTTATATAATCAATTATAATAGGGTAATTGATTTAAAAGGGATTGGTTGGACAAAGCATGTAATAACATATAACAGTCTTTAGAGGTAGCCTCTGTACACATTAATCCTTCCAGACTTCTCTGTAGTTTTTTCTGCTAAACATAAACAGAAACCTATCCTTTTTAAGTCTTCATCAGACTTTTTAATAACCCTACATTTCTCTATCATTGCTAGCCCTCTTTTGGAAGGGGTTCTTCAGAGATTGTGATCATACTTGAGCTCTGAAATATATGAATTGTTATCTTGTAATGAAAGTTAAGTCAATGGAAGGGCTTAATAGCTTTTATAAATAAAGGTTATGTCTACTCTGTAGGATTTCTAGTAAGTTAGTCATTGAATTTTAGAAAATCATCTAAAAATTACTTTGTCTTTGGTACTCTTTTTTGACATCTTTGCCATTTTGCTGTTCCAGTTGATCTTTTATCCATTCACTCTTTTCTTTATAGACTTCCTTCATCCTTGCGCCATCATTCTTAAAACAACTTTCATAGCTTATATGACTCCTACTATGCTACCCTGATTCTCACCTTTCTCTCTGGCCATTTCTCCACTGTCTCTACTTCTTCCTGTCTTCTACTTGATATATGTGAGTATATCCTAATACCTATTCTCTACTCAATTACTCTTTCTCTGTATTCATCCTAGGAACTCGCTTCCACTTTTTGTGGATTCAGCTATGCAAAGAACATTTCGATTCCCTTTTCAACTCTGCCATCTCGCCCAAGTTGAAGTAGTATATTTACCTTTAAATGTTCCAGATGAGAGTTGCACTAACAACTGAAACTTAACATATTTAAAGGAAACTTCATTATACTTCACTCAACTATTATTTTCCTCAGTCTAGTGCTACTCACTTTATATACACATTTTTGAAAGAGGTATCTTGAATGTTTTCTGTGCCCTTAATTTTTCTTTAATTACCCAGGGCTGAGACCCATAACCTGAAATGTGTACTAGGGTAAGGACCAAATTCATGGCTGTTATCAGGGACAAATAGTAAAGATTTTAGACTTTGTGGTCCATAGGGGCTCTGTTGCAACTACTTAGTCTTGTAAAAATTTGTGCATTGTGGCACTAAAGCAGTCATAGAAAATAGAAAACAACAGATATTGTTGTATTCCAATAAAAGTTTACTTATAAGAATAGATGGCCAGCCAGACTTGGCTTGAGAGTCCTAGCCATAGTTTGCCAACTTCTGGCCCAGAGAATGTCAAATCTTAACTCCACTCCTTATGTTAGTATATGAGGCCTCTCACTAACTTCCCTGTCTTAGTAAGTTTATTTCTTATTTACTCAGTGAATCCTCCTCTCAAGACAAATGATTATTGCTTTATATATGAGCTGGTATATGTGTTAGCACTCATATATAACAAAGGATTTGGATCCAGAACATATAAAGGCTTGTATTAGTATTTAAGTATTTAAAACCCTCTAAAACATAAGTTGTTATTTTGCCATATCCGTCCCTCTTTCACCACTATCCTATACTGCTATCAAGATTCAACATGAAAACTCTATTCCTTGTGATTTTTTTTTTTTTTTTTTTTTTGCCACCCTAGTGAATTCCTTCTCTGAACTTTGGTAGGACTTGCATTAGTCACTTAATTAGGGTTTAGTTTACTATCTTCTAAATCAGCATTTATGGTGTGTGTATTATCATTAAAGCTAGATTATAGCCCGTTTAAAGGTAGAGAATCAATGTCTATGCTGCTTTGTAGTTCTTCCAATCATTTCCCTGCAGTAGGATGGGATTCTCAAATGTGTTGTATGTATAGTTTATACAGTGAAACTACTACTGTTGTAATTCAAAAGTCAATGTCAAGAACAGTAAGCCAGTGGAAATAGTACAGTAAGGTCCTCTAAAAATTCACCATAAGAGCAGTGAAAACACTTTCAGAATCAAGTTTTACAGAAATCTGATAATTAACCAAAGGCTTTTAGCAACCAGTGGAACATTTAATTAAGAAAAATAGCTTACTCTTGGTGAGAAAAGTGAGCTTTGTGGCATTTTAACTTGCCTTAGTCCTTTGGAGTAGCCTTGAAAAACAACAGCATCCCACTGAAGCTTCTCGAGCACCAGAAGGATAGAACAGAGATAGAGTTCTTTCAAAACCTAACTGCCAGATAATTGTCATTATTTGACCTCTCTGGTAGTTCCTGCAATATCCTACTTATAAGAAGGCTGTTTATCTTTGACATTACTTGGAGCTTGCCCATTGGGGAAAAACCTTCTCTGTAGGCCAGAGGGAGGGTGGAGGGTGGGGAAATAGTTGTCAAAACCAATTACAGATGAATAGTTTGACTTCATGACTGCTGAAGTATAAATTATGTTTGGTACAAACAATAAACTTAACCAAAAAGCTTAAAAGGAAAATACGCAGAATGAGATGTCTATCAACAAAAAATCTTTTGGGACTTTGAAAAGCTCTGACTTATTCCTGGGATCTTAGAAAATCAAGCACATAATAGGATTGTATATGTGCTCAGGAAATTTATGAGGAGGCCTTAAGCTCTCACCTTTCACTGACCTTGAGGGTCAGTACAGCAGGAATTGAGGATAAGACAGAGTCAACAGCCTGGTGACTGGAATGTTGGAGGCATGTCCCCAAACACATACAGGTTCCCTCCTGAAGATAAAGTTAATAGTTCTCTGTTTAATTATTGACCTATAATGTTTATACAGCATTATTCATAGCAAGCAAAAAGTAAAAGCAACATGTCCATCAAGTGGGAAATGGATAAACAAGATGTGATATATCTACCTGTTGGAATATTATTCAGCAGTAAACTGGAATGAAATACTGATAAATGCTATGACATATATGTAGTGTATAAGAATTAGAATTTGTTGAATTGTTTCCCATCTAACTTGTATATGGGATACTATTTGATTTCACATCTAGCCTTGTAACTCTTCTAAAACAATGTGATAAAGGGTTAAAAGTCCTATAGGTTAACCACTTTAGAAGCAGAAAGGAACCTTTTTGGACTGTTTCTGACTCTGGGTTGCTTTGGAAGGAACAGGTTAGAAAGCAAGCAGCTTGTTCTGTGAAAGAGAAATATAACATTCTTTAAACACAAAACATACCTTTTTATATACCTTTTTATTACTTCAAATGTGTGAGTATACCTGAAATGTTAATCCCAGGGCCTGGACTACATCTGTATAGCACTTCTCAAGAAACTCTAAGATTAATTTGATATAAAGTGTTTCTACGGAGAAGAAAAAAATCAATTATTAGAAAATATAAGTATTTACAAATCAATTATTAAATAATCCATACTGGAATTTTAATAGAAACATCAAATTTTAAGAAATTATAAATTCCAGAAACAGGCTTCTGCCTAATTTTTAAAATCTCTTAATTCTTCTGACATCTCAATAATTATTAATTTCTGAGGGCCTCCCTGGTGGCACAAGGAGTTAAGCACAACACTATGAAACTATCCGTAGCCTTGGCTGGCTGGCCTTGGAGCGGCCCACATGGCGCAGCAGACCTCTCCTGTCTCACCTGCTGCTTCTCTCAGCAGTGTATTTCAGTCAGTCTGCCTGTTCTGTTCCCCACTCTGTCTCTGGTGAATCCTCTCTCGCATACACCCCACACTTTGTACCCCGGTTCTTATATGGATAAAGATTATGACTAGTGATACCATAGTCATTTTTGCAGATTCCTCCAACCTGAAAACTTTCTGTAGATGAGAATAGACTTAAGAGGGTCTTCCAGTATCACATATTCTCTAACTTAACTGGAACCTATAAAAAGGGCTAACAATTCTATATAAGTAGTTTGAAGCAAGAAAATGGATAGGAAACTTTGGTATAGTTGAGATAACATGAACAGAAAACATAAAACCTATGGGTATAGCCTTTTGTTTTCATGTTGTAAAAATCAAAAGCATTGTCTAGAATGTCAGCCTTCCCATTTGAATTGGGTAGAATACGGTTTGCTTTAGATGTAACTTTTAAATACTGTTTTCTTTTGATGGATACTTTAGCATCTGAACTGTGGCCAGCTATCATATATAGATTATTTATGTTGGTATTTGCTAGGAAATATATTTTGCTGGGAATGCATTTTTTAGGGAATACATGATGACTAGATTGTTCTACTTTTGACTTAGTGATTTTAAGAATATTTCCAAATTGTTGGCCTAATTCCTTACAGATATAATTAGAAGTAATGCCTTATTTTTTTAATGGGATTTTTTTTTAAAGATTTATTTATTTGTACAAGCCAGAGGCGGGGGAGGGTGAGAGAATTCACCAGAGACAGAGCAGGGAACAGAACAGGCAGAGGGACCAAAATACACCGTCGAGGGGAGCAGTGGGCGAGACAGGAATGGTCTGCCACGCCATGTGGGGTTCTTTCTGGCCTGCCGGGAATCAAACTGGCACTGCAGAGACTACAGACAGCTTCATAGTGCTGCGCTCAACCCGCTGCGCCACTGGGGAGGCCCTAGAACTAATGCTTTAGAGCTTTAAAAAAAATTCAACTGCTGTTTTATGGTTTTGTTTTAGTATTGCTAGCTTTTCAGTGTTTGGGATATGATTTTGTTTTACAGATTGGTTCATGGTTATCAAGTCTGCAATCTTATTTTGCCTTATCTTCAGTTTGGGTGTCCATTCTGGATTGGCTCTTATTTTAGCTATGTTCAAGTGTGAATTAGTATTGCTAATTAAATGGGTAAAATCAAGGCACATAGTACATTGTTTTTTTCTATTCAGCACTGCCACAACCCTTCAGACACTGGCTTAGGTGTGTTTTTCCCTAACAAAAGTCCCTGCTATGTGACTTACTTGCTTGGGCCTACCTGGCCTCTCGTTATTGAAACCGTTGCCCTTTTAAAAAGTGTTTTGAAGTTATAAAACTTCTTTAAATGTTCCTGATGCTTTCGGAAGTCTTATAATAAATATTTTATGGTTTTTAGGACCTTTATTTTCAATAAAACTCAATGTATTCTTTACCAAAAGTCTAGAGAAATGCATGTTGTTTGTTTGCAAGAATTTTCCTAGTACATATGGTAGTATATTCATGAAGAAATGTCATGTAAATATCCAAGAATTAGGTTCATTTTTACTCACAAGTACTAGCGAGCTTATCAATTGAAACATTTTCAGACTGTGTTTTGAAAATATGCAAAACAATAGTAGAAATTACATCTGTGGTTTCATTTTAAAAGAGCAATATGAACAATATAATTAGCAATTTTTATTTCCTTTAGGGTTTAATGAAGAAATTCATCCGATGTTCTACACGTGTAACTGTGGGAACTATTAAAAAATTTCTAAGTTTAAAACTAAAACTACCAAGTTCTTATGAGGTAAGTTTATAATATATCTTCATCATTCTGATAATTCTGATCTGAAGTAAAATCCTAACAAACGAGTAACTCAGAATACATTTAAATTAATTTTTATGGACTCATTTGTTATTTTCATCTTGTTTTTAATTTTTAAAATGTAATACTCTATAATTACCGTAGTAATTATATAGTATATTGATGTAATAATCTGTATTTTCTGATTTAAACACTCACTAAAACATGATTTAAACACGCTGGTGAAAACATTAATGTTTTATAAATACAGCATGTGTTAAGAACATTCAGTATTTTCAAAATAATGTCACAATGCTTTATGATTTGCTGTTTTTATCTGAAACCTTTGAAATCTACTTTTACCAATCCTTTATAGATTTATTTGTCATAATGTAAAATTGTCTTTCACCAGAGGGTATTTAGCAAGTAATCTTCCTTTAGTTGTATCACATGTAAAACTGACATTGCATCTATATAAATTCAGTCTACCTGTTTCTTTACAGGAGCTATAAATTACCCTATTTGATCACAGCACAGCTTGTAATGTGTTCAGTGTTTACAGATGTTTATGATCCTAGGAGTGGGGCATAACATAGTGAGGAACATGGCTACTGTTCTCACCTGCCCAGATCTCAATCTTATAACTTGGGTTCTGAAAGTTGTGTTGAAAAAACTAGAGACCAAGACTAGTTTCCTATATAAACAGAGGTTTAAAAGGCAACATAGTTTCTCAGGCTTATTTTAATTTGATCAGTCATAGCAGTAATAAAATAGGATTTGAACATAGGCCTTAACAGGTGTTAAATCTGCATTTTGAAGAAATCTCTGATCCTGAGCTCAGTTTCTCAGATAACTAATCTATGGATTAAAAATTCTTATTATGTGGGCCTCCCCGGTGGCGCAGCAGTTGAGCGCTGGGTTGCGAAGCTGCCCGCAGCCTCTGCAGCGCCAGTTCGATCCCCGGCTGCTCCCCGGCCACCGGAGGAGGGTCCCACATGGCGCGCAGACCTCTCCTGCCGCCCGCTGCTCCCCTCAGCAGTGTACTTCGGTTCTTCTGGCTGTTCTGCTCCCTGCTCTGGCTCTGGCTCATTCTCTCACCCTCCCGCGCTTCTGACTGTACCCAGTGCTTGTATAAATAAATAAATCTTTAAAAAAAAAAATTCAAAAAAAAAATAATAATAATTTTAAAAAAAAATTCTTATTATGCTTTGGTCCTACACGTATTAAAAGAAATCTTAGAGACATTACCTTTAATTGTGAAAGTTAAATCCTATATACTTGGTAAAAGTAAAAGATAATAAATTAATAGAAACAGCAGTGCAAACAAAATGAAATTGTTTTTATGATTTGGCCTTGCACTTTATTCTTCCACTGCAAAATTCCACATGCAGTTTTATTTCCTTACTTCTAAGTGTGACTCAGTGTTACATTTTCAAGTTTTTAGGAAGTTGTTATAGCTGAGAGAACCATTACTCACATAAGGTCTGTACTGCTGTCATATACTTCTCTATAGAAAAAAAATACAGAATGGGAAGAGGCTCAGCCCACTCACAGTTCCTTATCTATCCAGTGCAAAGGACTTTTCATATGATTTTTAGGTGTATGTACTGTTTCCCCTTATTTTGCTACCCAATTTAAAAGGGAATGATTTCATGAAATACCTGACAGCTAAAGATTTTGTAACAACTTTACCAATCTTCCCCCTTCTACACATTTCAGTAAGTTTACTTTTAATAGCTAGAAAACCAAAATGTTTTATTTATAGGGATCTATGATAAACATTTAAGTATGCCTTGTTAAATTAGTAAGTCATATCCACAGTTCTTGTGGTCTTATGGATTTGAGCAAGGAGCGGGGGAGTTGTTGGTTACTAAAACTTTATAGCAAAAACAAGCATTGGTAAGTACAATCCTTGAAGTTTCATGCAAGATGAAAAAATGGTTCTATGAATACAGTATTTGTAGTAAACATAGGCCTATGGCATGGTCCTAACTGTTCTGTAAACTTGGCTATTGGTAGTTACTAGAAATTGTCAAAAAAATACCCTGTAAGTCCTGTATCCACATTCATTAATTTACCCTATCAAATATAAACTAATGAGAGGAAAATAATTCCTTTAAATCTTGGTAAGGTACAGAAAAAAAGTCTAAGACCAGATGGCTTCACTGGTGAATTCTACTAAACATTCAAATAAGATCTAATACCTGTCTTTCTCATCCTCTTCAAAAAAAATGAAAAATGGGGAGAATATGCCTAAATCTTAGAGAGGTAAAAGGATTTTTAAGGTGCTTTGATGGGCTTATCAGCTTTCTATAGTTTATTCCCAGTTAGCAGGAGGCCATGTCCGAAGTATACTAAAACCTCAAAAGTTACACAGAAAGGTTTTGTGTATGAACTTGAGATACAGGTGTGTGGGACAAGATGAACAGTGCTTCCTTCTGATTATTGATACCCATGAGATGGACCAGTGTTTTTAATAAAAAGATGTCAGCATTTTTTCTAAATAATGAATAATACTTCTACTTTTTAATTACTTGAATCTTTTTTTGACGTTTGAAAAAAAAATGTGTAAACACTTATGTTAATGGATCTATAACTATTCTTTTTAAAGTTGGATGTGCTGTGCAATGGTGAAATTATGGGAAAGGATCATACTATGGAATTCATCTACATGACAAGATGGCGACTAAGAGGCGAAAATGTAAATTGTTTTTATATTTACTTATGTGTATATTTAGTTATATAACATTGCTATTCAAACTTAACAATATTACTTAGAAACACAACAACAAAAGAAACTAGCTTGGGGAAGACAAGAAACTGGTTCGTCATACTGTTTCTCTCAACTACTCCATGACAGCTGGTCCCAATATAACACAAAGGTCTGTGTTAAATGTGGTTTTGTTATATTTAAGGTGAGTTTGAGACCTGATCTAACATGTCAAAACTCTGCTAATCTCAAGACAGAGAAGACAGCACTTACATGGTTTTATAAAGCCCAATAAAATTATTGAAACTTTGAAGTATATGGAGTAGGGGTGGGGAAGACTAAGTTCTGCTTTCACTAATACACCTAGTGGTTAAAAGATATTTTTGATGTGGTAGTGGTGATAGAATAGAATCTAGATCTTTTTTTCAGGTACTGTCTTTAAATTGAGAGTATAAAGTTGCATTGAAGGGTAAGTGAGTTTGCAGTGGTTTCTGATGCCATAATAATTATGCCTTAACCCATAGGAAATATGGGAAAAATGATTAAATGGGAAAAAACTAACAAAGTTCAAAAACACAAAAGGAGAATTTTATATTTTAAACTACATCTTCAAGTAGGATCAAAGAGAAATAGAATCTAAGTTATAAGTAACATGATATTAGGGAAATTGGAAGGGCTAGGGCATTACAAGGCTGATAAATAGCAATAAGGGTATAGTAGCAATGTTACCAGAAATTATAGACTGATTACATGACTAAATGAACATTAAGGCTGACTAGAAGGTTGCAATAAATGACCTCCAACATCCTTTTCAGACATTAATATTCTGTCATGTTTATGGTACAGTGTTATACATTTAAACTCATAAGTTATTTTATTACATTTTCTTATAAAAAATAACACAATTAAGAGATACAACCACATAAGGATAAGTAATACAGAATGTATACTCAGGGTTGCCATGTTACAGTGATTCACAAGCATACTGAATGTAAAATCTGTGGAATTATGAAACAAACCTAAAAAAAAAAACATTTTTGTGCTACTCCTTGGGTAGGTTATTTGGCTCTTTTTTAGAAGAAATGTCTTCATATGATAATAATTGAAGTACCTAACTTAAGTCACACTTATTTTTTTCTATTTGAGTTCCTCTTAGGTAAAGCCTTCCTTGTAAGGAAGAAAAAAGATGTTTTTGTAATAGTCACGAATCAGTTGCATGCCCTTGAAGAACTCATTAAACCTCTCTGGGCTCATTTTAAAATACATAAACTATGTATCTAATATATATATATATAAATCTAATTGTCTTTGTATTTGGTAAATTACTACTTGGATTTCTATGACATTTTATAGGGTTGGTTTGGTTTTCTGGGGTTTTTTGATGGTTGTACATAGCCTCATTTAATACGCAGAACCAAAATGTTTCAGATACAGGTTAGAGATTGTCAATTCTCTTACCCAGTGCTGGTATTACACCTAATGTTAATATTGTATTGACTGTAACGTTAGCTTTCTTGAACCTTTTATTGGGTATTTCAGTATGCATTAGTGCTTGAAATCGTCATTATTAATAGATTTGCCTGCAGGTAGGAGTGCTAAGTGTTCATCCACTACAGGGCCTCAGCTAGCATTCTTGTCCTTCACAAGAGTTTACGCACACTGCCAGTTATTTTAATCTCAAAGCATGAAAGAACTATGCCATAGAAAGGATTAATAAAATATCCATTAAATCCATCTTCAATACAATTTTGTTCGAGTACACATTTCTGAGCAGTTTCATGTTCCTTGGCTGTTTAAGGCATACTTTAATAGAAATGGTTCAGGACATTATGATATTTCATTCAAGTAAAAACTAACAAGTAAGTAATTTGGTGTAGTAGTTCTTTTTTTAGGCATGGCAACCTGGGTTTTGTTCTCTGGGGAACGTATTAACTCCCTCAGCCTTTACAACCACAATAATTATGAGATTAGTAGTTTCATTTCTCAATTGCTCAAAAATTCATGAAGTCAGTCCTGGTTAGTTTTTCCTTCATCCATTGTTAGCAAACTCTGTGACCTTTACCCTCCATATCCGAATCCATTTATGTCTTAACCACCTCCATTCCTACTACTCTGGTCCAAGTCACTATAACCATCATGTGGAATTTCTATAAAAGTCTCCTACCAGATTCCATACTTCTACTGTCATCACCACCGACCCTCCTTCCATCTTCACCAGCACAGCAGCCAGACTGACTCTAAACAATTTAGAACATATCACTCCTCTGATAAGAAATCTCCACAACCATCTGACATCATTTAGTAAAATCCAGAGTCCTTCCAGGGACCGATAGGAACAGCCCCCACATCATTTTCTCCAGACACCACTCTGATCTGTATATTCTCTTCCTCTGGCTCTCTGGCCTCTGTGCTTCCTCAGATACAGCAGGCTTGCTCTGCTTCCTAGAGCACTGACCACTTTCACTCCAAGAATTTTGTGTTACCTCAGTGAGGCCTCTGACTTCAATATTACAACCCCTCTTCTAATCTGACATCCCTTTTCATGCCTCGCTGTTTTCATAATACTTTTTATATCATCTGGCATACTAAGCCTCTTACTTAAATGTTTGTTGGTTCCCCAACTAAAATGTAACCTCATGGCAGGAATTTTATTTACAGCCAAATTTCTAGCACCTCAAGCGGTGCCTAGTACAGAACTATTTGTTTAAAGAGTAAACTGAATGAAAAAAATCATTTTCATTTATTTGAATCCCAGTTTCTATTTTTCTGTTAAACACATTTTAAATTTTTGCTCATCTTCCAATTAATTATGAATTATAATAGTAACTGACAAGTTTTGACAGTTGGAGTAAATGAATACATTAGCAGTAAAGCAATCATTTCTTGATTAAGCCCCTACTAGCATATTTGTTATAGTCACATCCCTTCCTATTTCTGCCTTCCATTGCCAATAAGATGCTAGAATGTCTGAAAACCTCTCTACCTACAGGCATTTTAACTACCTCTGCCTTAGACAGAGGTCAGCTTATTTCCTGAACAGATGACTACCTTATAGTTTCCACTTGTTTCTAGTACTTCTGTATATTAAATATTTTAATCTACCTGGGATTTATCTACACACACACCTACAATAAGGCTAAAACCATAACTTCTTATAAAGATTTTTTTTTGGTCAGGGACACAATTTATTGAATAATTCATACTTCAGTCTTTTGATATGTCACTATTATCTATGCATATGTATGTATACCAATATATACGCACAGATATGTATATGTAGGTTACTAAACATTTTTTTCTTCTGAGTTTTATTCTTGTACCAGCATCACGTATTATATAGCTTTTATAAACACTGACCACCTTACAGCCCTAACTAAAATCCCTCAGTTGTCTATTTTGTTTGGGATACATCTGAATAAAATCCAAGCTAACATGTCTTATAAGACAAATACAATAATTAGGTCACTTTATAGTGTTAGGTCAAAACCTTTTTTTACATTGTATTTGCTAGTTTCATTTTTTTCAGATGAACTTGAGGATGGAACTGTGATTAGCAACAGGTTAAATTTCTAGGTTGATTTGGCACCTTTGCAATTTTTCATCTTGGTGGTGTGGGCTGTCTTCTATGTTCGACTCTCCCCTTCATGTCTGGGTAGTCTATGGCTTTCTTTTTAGAGGATGCCACCTCTGCCCCTCTAGGTCTTTTGCTTCAGATTGGGCTTCTCTATGTTCAGGTCAGCTCTTGACTTTGTACTATTTCTAGACTTTTAGGAAGAATTTCAGGGAAATAGATTTGCCTCCATTTCTCAAGGCCATCTGTCCCTCACCACACAGCATCTGTGCCCCTCTCCCCTTATCCTGGGGCAGTTCTGCTTCAGGCTCACCCTGTCTTCCGTGGTCTGCACTTTCTGGATCCTTGTCTTCAGTGTGATGCATTTTTGGAAATTTCTGTCTTTAGAATTAAATTTCTGGTGAAACTTAGTTTAACTCAAGAATTTTTAAGTTCATGACAATTTTGCTGCCTCCAGATTATTAAACTGATAGGATTATTATTTCAAGGTTGGTATTTACCTTTCAGTTATTAGTGGGAGAAAGTGTACTTCTAAAAAAAACCAGCCTTCTTAAACTTGAATGTAAATACAAATTGTGTTTTGTCTGAAGTGGGGCCCAGGATCCTATATTTCTAACTGGCTACCAGGAGGAGCCAGTACATCTAATCTTTGGATATTCCTTTGAGTAATAGGATTTTGGGTGATATGTTCTGTAGTCACTGACTTGCCTTGTGGTTTTCACATCTATCAATTGAGGGTATGGAAATTATAAAATTAGATCTCAGTTTGGAAGGGACTTAGTAATCAAGACTGATCACCAGCCTAGTACATGGATCTATCCATGCATTTATTTTTTAGAAACATAAATGGAATTATAAGGTTTTGTACAAGTTTTTTCTTTCGGTAATATAATTGTGAAGAATCAGTAAACTTTGATGAAATAATTCTTTTTAACAAGTTGACAGTCAATTTGTGTGGCTGTAGCATAATTTAATGTACTCCTTTATTGGACGTACAGATTTTTCAAAATTTTTGACATTACAAGTAATATATAAGTTATATTTCAGTACATGTTTTTTACTGCAAATGTAAAGTATCTCCTTTGGTTAGATTCCTAGGAATGAATTTACAGCAAAATATGCACATTTTTCATTTTGGTAAATACTGACATACTGCCCTCTAAAAAGGTTTTAGCCACTTATGATGATGTAATGTAATGTACAATGGTGCCTATTTTCTGACATCCTCATTGCATTTGTCAATTTTGTATTTCTTCTACAAAATTTATTTTCCTTGTGTGTTTTTTCCATTGCAACACTTTTTTTTAATTGACTTCTAGGAGCTCTTTTATGTATTTTGGCTATTAATCTTCTATTACACGTGTTGTAGCTATTACTTCCCAATTGTGTCCTGCTCCCTAGTTTTGCTGAGAGATTTTTTATTAAAATTTGAGTAGTGATACCTATCTTGAAAACTTTTAATAAGAATTATTATATAACGAAGTACTTAATAGAATACCTGACATAATGTTTTTATTAATAGCTTATGTATGTTAGCTTTTCTTATAATTCTCTCCTCCTACACTTAGTCTCATCCCAGAGAGCTTACTGTTAATATCTCTTTCTATCCAGCCTCTGCTTTCATCATGGACTCATGTTCTTCCTGCTCACCTTTTCTTGGGTAGGTTGAATACCCACTCTCAGTACAGCCCCTCTTTCTCAGATGATCCTGGTTGGATTCATCTCTGCCAATATATACCTAAAGTTAATGCACCATGTTTGTCTTGAATTGCCTTATTTACAGTACCAAATAGTTTTAGGAAAAGCAAATACCTATTTTGTCTGATACCAACTAGATTAATAGGGGGAAAAAAAACACCTAGTGAAATACCTCTTTACTCTAGTTAAGTGCTATTTGGGATTCACTTCATTAGGCAAAGTCTGATAGGCCAAGCTTAGGGTCTCTTCACAGAGAAAGGGAGGCCTTGTCAAGGATAGCAGTTCTGGCCATATCTTACAGCATGTCTACGAACGCTGTGCAGAAAATCAAGGACTAACTTGCAGGGAAAAAATTGAAGTTTTGGGGGAAGTGGAAAATTAATTTTTTTTTTCCAATAATTGCTTATTCTTCTTTCAAAGTATATCTTTTAAAAAGCTACTTTGGAACGTTAGGTTTTTCCTGGTGAATTTACACCTCACATATTTTTATCTTTTCCATTTTGAAGTCATGCAATGTTAAATTCATACTTGCATAATTTTAAAGTATACATTTTGTTTTATAATCCCATTATAATTAAAATTATGTATAATAAGCACTTATCATAATATTGAAAAACCAAGATTTGGGAACAATTTTCAATGAGTGGTTAAACTGTTCAGAGTGAGTGAATTTGTAAGTGAATCTACTCAATAGTCTTAAAATATGTTCACCCATTGATTTACTCATAAAACATTTATTGAGAGGTTGCTGTGTGCCAGTTCTGGGCCTAAGCTATTAAAGACTACAAATATGAATAAAATATAGCTTCAAGGAGCTCACAGTATAGTAGTGTTGAACTGGATATGGAGATAAAGAATCTGATATAAAATAGAAAGTTAATCTTACAGGTTGAACCATGTTCTGTGCCCCTCTCAGAGCTGATATCCCTAAATGCTTTTACTTTCAGGAGTAGTTGAAAAGGATTTGTAGGAAACTGATCACAGGAAGAGATGAAAGAAAGGGGGTGACCCTCATGAACTGAAGGTTTGAAGGTTTCCTCAGGAATTAACATTAAAAAGGAAATGGAAAATATAGGCCACCATTTTGGTAAATGTCTGCAGAATATTAACAAAACTCATTTAGATACTAAAATTCTTAAAAGCTAAAGTTTACCAGTCACCAAGTTATTAAAATCTATTTTTTTTTAAAAATTACCATATTTTGCAAAGTGTTTATTTAAAATTAATCATGTTGAATCATGTTTGATGTTAAAATATTTTAAATAATCAGTTTTAAATATGTATCCAGTTGTGGATGCCTCTTATCTGATGAGTTCATCTCCTCCGCAGTTTCGGTGTCTGAACTGCTCAGCTTCGCAAGTCTGCTCTCAGGATGGCCCTTTGTATCAGGTAAGAGGCACTCACGACTGTACATATGACCCTACTGATGCCCAGACTCATCTTCCTAAAACATGTACCTTGGCAAAACTAGTATTTATTTGAGCAACAAAACTTTATTCAACTTATGTCCCCAATGTTCCCTATCATTTTCATTCTCGTGAATTATCTGTTTTATCAACTAAAAAAAAATAAATATTAAGGTCATATTTTACAAATCAGAAATTTTTAATAATTGCCAATTTCAGCCCTTGAAAATTCCTCTGCCTATATTGGATCTCCCCTCCATACTGTGTGTGTGTGTGTGTATGTGTGAATCATTCACCCAAAAATGAAAGATAAAATGTATGATTAGATGAAGCTAAATAATAGCAGCAGCTAAATAATAGCAGCAGCTAAATTAATTGTGAACTTGCTTACTAGGCACTACCCTCAAATACTTTACTTATCTCTTTTAATAAGGGAATGATAGTGAGCTAAGTTAATTATGCACTAAAAAATCTTGAACCATGGATCTGAGGAAAGCTTATCTAATAAAAATAAAAGCACATTTAAAAATTTTTAAAACAGAAGACACTTAGTATAAGGATTACTATTGAGTACAGATATGGTCCATGTTCAGCCTTAGACTTTGGAATATAGTCATAACATTTCTTAAAAATCTTCATTGTTCATTTCCCCCAGAAATTAATCTTTATCCTTATTTCCTTGTAGTCAAGAAAGGATAAATTACATAACAAACGTGTCTCTTATCTTGCAGTTTTAGGGTTGGGGCAAATGTTTAGTACTAAAAGAACATCTAAATCACTAAGCAAAAATGCTAACTAGCAGTTTTCTAGAATTTCCCCCAGTCTTATTGTCAGTACTGTAATAGAAAATCTCCCTGCTGTCATTATGCATTTAAAGGTAAGGGGTAAATAATTTAACTAATATGGTAAGATTTGTTAAATTCTTACACATATACACCACACAGACAAACTATATAGATGTTTCAGCTGCTTTTAGCTTCACAGATGATTTGGGGATGATAAATTATAGTGATACTTTGCCTATAGCAGTTAACTAATACCTATATGTCATCTTGCTTTCATTCTTGGCACTGATGTCTAGTTCCTTAGAAATAAACATGTTCTTAAAGTCTGATAATAAAGTATCAAAAAACTGAATAAGACCAGATTTTTAAAACTCCAACCAAGTTTTTTCTTCAACATGTTAGAAAATTAAACTTGTAACTAACAGGATATGAACCTTTAGCCAAAAGTCAGGCTAGAAAACTTCAAAGAAAATATCATGTGTTTAGTTTTATACTATTAAATTTTATAAAAATTTCCTGAAATGGAAAATATTCTAGGAAAATACTAGTGGACTGAAATTTATCCAAGAAGAAAACAAATCACAAATCACTAATTCATGAAAGACCTAAAAAAAAAATTAAAGATACCTAAATAGTTTTTATGGTCATATTCTCACAAATATTCAAGGAATAGACCATTCCCATTCTAAATTGTTTAAATATGAAGAAAGATGAAATTCTTCAAACTCACTTTATAAAGGTAACAATCATGACAACAAAAACTGACAACCTCCAATCAGAAAACTAGTATCAAATATAATTTTGAATATAAATATAAAAATGATAATGTACTAAATATGCTAGAATAATATGCTACAAGAGTAAACCAAAATTAGTTTCATCATAGATGCTAGATTGGCTTTACACTGGTGAAGGGAAGTATATATAACAAATATTTGTTGTACACACAATCAGAAATCAATAGATATTGAAAAGGCATTTGATGAAATTCACTGCTAATCTTTCCTACCAATTTATTTTGAAATTTTTCAAAACAACCAGGAAATTGAAATAACATAAGGAATATTTATTAGATTTTTCTATACCCCCCTCTTTCCCTGTCTTTTTCTTCCTTTCTGTCTCTTATTAATGTCTTTATAAATATAGCTATTGTTTCTTTGTGGAAACTTTTAAAAGTAAATTGCAAGTACCAGTACAGTTGACCACTAACTGCTTCAGCAAATATTTCCTAAGATCAAAGACATTCTCATATATAACAAATTCTTCATGAACAAGAAATAGTAAATGAGAGTATTTGCCTGAACATAGACATATGAATCAAAATAACTCAGGAACAGACTCTAATATATATAAGTCTATCCAAAAAATAGTATTTCAATTTAGTGGATGGAAAAAATTTTAACATTTATTGAGCACTCAACCATGTACTGGGCACATTTTTAGGCCCAGGAACACAGAAGTGAAAATGAACACTATTCTCCCTCTTAATGATGGTAACAGATGAAAAATAAATGAGTAAACATTATAATGGTAGAAGAAAAGTTAAAGTGGATACTTTCTTTAGATTGGAAAAGGACTTTTTTTGAGGTTAAAATTTTTTATAAAAAATAGGTGAAAAAAATAGCCATGTGAATATATAGTTGGGCACACCAGGCTAAGGACACACAGTGCACAAGCCCCAAGGAGCAGTCCTGTCAGGTGGTTTGAGGGTGGCAAGTAGGCCAGTGATGCTGGAGCAAAGAAAGTGGTTGGTAGAGGTAATGGTGATAATTGAACTTGGAGATGTAGATGTCAGAGGTGGGATGTGATATAGTAGGGCTTGTTTTCAATGAATTACACTGACACTGTTAGCAGCAGTGATGGGGGAATTTAATCCATACCTCATATTACATGAGTTACTCATGGTTTAAAGTGGTAAATATTAAAAATGATGACCATCAAGGATCAAGAGGAAAATATACTTAATCTCAGTAGAGTTGGCCTTTCTCATTGTACTTAAAAAAGGAACATAATAAACTAAGTTGACAATATTGAAAAATATATAGCAAAAATACCATAACTAAGAAAATATTGCAATATGTGACAGGTTTAATGTCCTTAATACATTAGGAACTCAAATCTGTAAGACAAAGTTCAACTGTCCAAATGTTCCATGAATAAATATGACTAAGCAAGTCAAAAAAGGAGGAAACAAAACTAAGACAAAAATTAATTTAGACATCAAGAAATAAAATACCATTTTATGATTATTAAATCGTCAAATTAAGAAGCAAGGCAAGAAAGGGTAGTACTCAGTATTGATGAGGCTATGGAAGAATGAGCATTCAATTTCTTTTGAAAATGTAAAAATAGAACAACTTTCTTAAAGTCTTAATGTGACAATACTTATCAGAGAGCTTTTTAAACTGAATGCTGGTTGAGTCAGTTTTTCCATTTCTAGGACTCAGTGTTGGAAGTAGCATGGAATTGGGTGATAGCATGGAGAGTGGAGAATAGACTAATGGGTCAAGATTAATTTATAGTAGTGAAAATGTGAAATAAACTAAAATGTACAGCAAAAGATTTTTTGATTTCTTACAGTTCATTTTTATAAAGCATTATATGCAGCCTTGAAAAACCAACATAGGACCATATTGAATTACGCAGAAATAAGTTTGTGGAATTTCTTGACACAAGGTAGTTCAACATCAGGAAATCAATCATCATATTTCACCACATCAACAAAAAGAGAAAAACCAGATGATCATATTAATAGATGCCAAGAATACATTTGGTGAGATCCAACATACATTTATGATAAGAACCCTCAGAAAACTGAAGAGAAATGGTATATAATAAAACCCATATATGAGACACTCACTGCTAACATCATTCTCAATGTTTGTAAAAACCTTACAGGCCAGAATTCTTAAATGAACAAGACTAAAAAGGATATACACTAAAATTAGTATCTTTGGATAGTGGAATTTAAATGGTTTTCCTTTTTTTCCTTGGTGCTTTTTTGTATTTCCAAATCTACATTAAAACCAAGTTACTTTTACAATTAAGAATTTATTTTTTAAGAAAACAAGATACAAAATCTTTTTTTATCATTTTCTAAAATTTATCACATTTGAAATATATACTTTGGCAGTATCTATTCTGTTTTAATGTAATGAGATGGAAGACTAGAAACTCTACAAAATACACTCAGTGCTTTCACTTACTACATGAGGCAGTGATAGGCCATATTTTATTTCTGTAAATGTGATGCCATTTTACTTCAGAAGGCAAACACAAAGAGAAGTTAATCTTAACAGGGCCTCCCCGGTGGCACAGTGGTTGAGCGCTGGGTTGCGAAGCTGCCCGCAGCCTCCGCAGCGCCAGTTCGATCCCCAGCTGCTCCTCGGACACCGGAGGAGGGTCCCACATGGCGCGCAGACCTCTCCTGCCTCCCGCTGCTCCCCTCAGCAGTGTGCTTTGGTCTTTCTGCCTGTGTACCCAGTGCTTGTATAAATAAATAAATAAATCTTTAAAAAAAAAAAATTTAACAATTTTCAGTATTGTAACATATTTGAATAAAATTATTCACCTTCATATGTTGTCATAGAACAAATCATTACTTGAAAGGTAAAACAATACCATTTTTAGCTAAAAATGGAGAAAATTCCAGCCAGTGACAACCAAACCATTTTATTTCCCTCTCTATCTTCATCCTAGTGGAATTAGTAATGCAGTCTTCTGTATATTAAGAATGAATTCTAGAACAAGTGACTCAATTATTTGCAGAAAATATACTTATTCAAGAGTCAAGAATGGAAAGTAAAACTGGAAAGATGATTATAATGAAGGGTACACCGTGGGCTGGGTGATAGAATGGGTTTAAGTAAAGTTAGGATAGGATGTCTTGGTAACAGTCTCAAAATCCGAGCTTCAGGAAATCCGCAGAGTGTAAAATGCACATTTCTGTGCCTCACTCCTAGCTACTGTGATATAGCAGAACAGAGTAAAGTTTAAAATAAAAGCAAGTTAACAAAATTTAAACCAAAATAGATTTAGGCCATGGAAACCCTAAGAAACACTATACTCCAGCACTGAGCACTAGCAATGACCTCAGCATACCTCAGCCTGGAAGAGCAAGACCAAGGTATTTGCATTCCTGCCCTCCAGTCCCATCCCCAGACTCCAACACTGAATAGCTCTAATAAGTGCTGAAACAGTCATTTTTCAGGATTCTAGAATCTCAGGTACATTCCCTTTCACCCATATGTAAGAAAACAAGTTCTCTTCGCTGGATCTTAGCATTCTCCTACCCTAAGATGAAAGGGAAACAGGCAGTGGCCAACTCAGCCTTTGTTTGGTTTCATAGAAGCATCCTCTCAAATTTTCATTTTAAAAAAGGAGAAATCTGCAGCTTTAAGAAAGGAAAACACATCTGTGGATCCCTTCTGAATTTGTGATGTTTGGGCTTATATATACAATATGATAAACTAGAAGGTAAAATAGACATAGAAATAGTGTGGCGTATGCCTATTTTACGCAGGAAAATCCCTTTCTAGTATTGTATATTGATATATAACAACTTTCTACATGATCAGAGTAACATCAAGGACAATGTGAACCTCTCATTTATGTCATATTCAAATTCAAATATTTAATAGTAACTATTGAAAGGAGGCAATAACCTAAATGTTCATGTAGCAATTAGCCTTGTTTTTCAACATTTTTACAGGATCTTTAAAATAAACTTTAAATGCTAAAACGTGTCAACCTTAAAAATGTGATTTGTAAAAACTGCCCTAGTGTCATAGTTAATGACTGAATGGCTTTAAGCAGGTGCTATAGCTTCCAGTCCTCCACAGACCCTGCCTCTCCCTAAGTGTTACATTAACACAAGTCATACAACATTTGTGGGGCTCTAAATTTCACCTTTGTTGCCTACTGTGGGAATAGAAAAGGGCCAATTTTAAAAAATAGAGTTTTAACGGTGATAGCATCTTAACTGTCATAATCACTACTGCCATGATATACTGTAAACTACAATGCTGCATTTCTTAAAATGATTTTAAAAAATGTCTATATAAAACAGTCTTATTCATCATCTCTTTTTATTTTTAGTCCTACCCCATGGTATTGCAGTATCGACCAAGAATTGATTTCGGTTAGACCAAAGGGCCTAGATCCCACCGAGATGAATCCTGCCCTATTTGTTTACTCATCGACAGATTGCACAGTGAACGAATGGTGTGTGGACTAGAGGGACACAATCAGATTTTCAGCATGCAAATAAGGCCACTATCTGTCTCTCAATTGTCGGTTGCATTTATGTTGTTTTTATTAAGAGCAAACCAAGTGCCATTCTCCTACTGAACCATCTGCATAAGGTATTTGTGCTGTCTCACAGTGTATAGTATGTCATGGTTACAATCAGGTATGCAGCCATGATGCAGCCATCTGAATATTTTGCTTGCTTGTTCTAAGATTCTTCTAATGTTTGACTACACTAGTAATATGGCTCAATCTTTGTGGTGTTGTAGTTTTCACATACTGTTTTATTCTTGTTTAAATAGAGTACTGTACAAGAAACTAATAATTATATCTTGAAATTATTTTGTATGGAAAATATACTTAGACAACTGGTTTTTGAGCCACTGTCCTGTTCTCGGTAAGCTTTTTGTGTACAAAAATAGTTTACTCGAGTGTGCAAATCCTTTTGGCAAGAATTCATTATTCTTTAACATTAATGCATGTTTTAATTGTAGACATTTTCAGTCATTTGTCTGTGTAGTCTACCATTTGCACAAGGAAGGCATAGTAGCCCTCTAGATTGAAAATGTATGACTTCTTAGAGAACTGAAATTAGATTAACAAGCATTTGAAATGTTGGCAGCTGATCACATTTACTTCTAACAAAATTAATGTGTGTAAGGTTAATTTTTCATAATGCCTTATGACAAGCAGGTGCTGCTTCATGAAACATTGTATAGTCCATTTTACGTGCATCGTTTATATTGTTGCTCTTGTTTAATTGAGTACATTCTCTTTTTAAGTTAGTTGGCCTTAGGTGTGTGTCATTGTGGCATGCAGAGGATTTTGATGATTTTAAATATTAGGATTTTTAGAACAGATAGCATTAGCTATTTTATGGATTTCAAAAGTCTCAAAGCAACTGTAGATTAAGAACTTATCACATTTCCAAACCATATTCATAAAATAGAATAAATGCATTGTAGTAGATAAATATGCTAACCAAGAGTAATGGTTTAAGGATATTTTAGCTGCTGTCGTAATCAGGACACAATGGGATTACTGTTTTATACACAAGTTCAATAAGATCAGAGCTGTGATAATATCCTTGATTTTAAATTTTGTTAAGTCTTCCATTCATTTTGAGATTAGTCTGCAAGTCCAAGAAAGCCTTGTTATCGTAAATGAAGAACTTGATTTTAAACTTTTTACATTTTACAGTTGGTTTCAAAAAACTTCTTTGGAAATTAAGTTTTACTAATTGCTTCAAAACAAGTTAACCTCTCAGATTTAGGGAAAAAATCTCAAAAGTTAGGAAAAATACTTATTTTAGAAATCAGATGTGAGCACAAACTGTGTGTTACACACACAGTTTTTGTACTGTATAAGGTAGATGTGCTACATTTTCCAGTAAAATGTATCACAAATTAATGCCTTCTGAAGCCCAAGATGCTTAGAAATAAAGCATAGTACAACTCTAAAAAACACAAAATACAACTAAACCTTGATGCATTTCACAAAAGGCTGAAACTTCATAATTATCTTTTCCATATATCTTTGTTTCAAGTCAAAAGTCTGTATTAAAATCTTTTGTTGTTTTTTGTTCTGGCTTTTGTGAAAAAGGTTATGGCAATACTTTATTAATTTTATTTTGTTAAATTGTGTTTATTTTTAGAAAGGCTCACATGCAGAACTTAAAAGGCAGACTTTTTAACTCTTTAAATGGTTGGAACAGACGTTTGTACTCAACCAAAAACTAATTTATTCTCTAGCTACAGAAGTTTTGCTCTGCTGTGAAATCTAGTGCCCTGAAAATTTTCCTAACATTTAAATTCATTATAAATTTTTCACATCTAAGTCAATGATTTTCATATATGAGAGTTAGTTTTATTATAGTTAATTTAACTCAAAATGAAGTGAGAATGCATTTTAAAAACCACAACTGAGACCTGTTTGGGCCCGTGGCCAAAACTTACAGCCTTCCACGAGTTTTATATACAACATCTCTGCAAAATTCATGTTACCTTCATCATATGTAATTTCACTACCTTCCAAGGAAGTACATAGAAAGCAGTTATAGAATTGAAAATAGTTATATATAAAACTCCTTTATTTAATGTTAATGCATTATTGTTTTGTTGAAAAATAATGGAATATGTGCCAAAATATGTGAAAACCTTAAAGAAGGGCATTGACTGTCATTTATGAAAAGGTACACATTATGTAATGGTTCTCAGTAAGGCAGGTATTATTGTTAGAACCATAGACCTCTTAAACTGACCTCCTTGGGTATCTTCAACATAACTTTCTAAGTATGGGAGTTGGGACTTACATCTATGTCTAGTAACACACTAAATCCATAATTATCTTCTAAGTCAGGTTGCAGATTTAGCAGGAAACCAGGTATAGAAGAAATTCAGGAACTGTTGTGGTTAGCTTTATAAATTTAGGGTGCTAATGAAACAGACTTTATATAAGCTTATAGGAATAGTCATCTGAATCTGCAAATCAGAGAATAAAACTAAATTAAGTTCTCTTTAATCTGTTGTTTCTTAAGCAATAAATGGAAAGAACTTTACTTCCATAAAAGATTCTGTAATGTTTTCTCTGCCTTAGATATCATAGATGTAAAAAGGTCAAGAAACTATGGCTATAAAGAAGGCATGTGGTTACAGCCACTACTTTAATTGACGTAATCAATCATCATCAGCTAATAGGAAAATCAGAATATGGCCTTTTCTCTAGATTAACAAAACGTGTGTAAGAAGTGTGAAAAATAAACTGAAACACTTGTTAATGAGGTAATATTAGATCATGCAGTCTGCGGTGCAGTTACCTTGGGTAATGTCTTTCCCTTTAGAAAAGTATATTTCTTTATTCATTGAAAATCTGTCCTATACTAATATGCCACACTTTATAAAAGTAATGCATTTGCTAAACTATATTATATACTCAAATGTAATCTAAATGATTCTTTAAGGGAAGAAAAAGTGAGTTAAATCTTGCGAACTTTTTAGCTTTATTAAAATATTTCAGAGAAAGTGCCTCATTGCTAAAGTGCATTTCTGTTTTAGATTTACTGCATGAATTTTGACTTCTCTGTTCCTATCTCTTTTGAATGGCTGCATATCTAAGTACTCACTAGTCAATTATAGTGATCACTAAGAAAGTAGATACCACCAAAGACATTTTACTATTAATAATCATGTTGGAGAGACAGTTTTAATAGTTTGGAGGTTGGAAACTTTCAGATTAAAATTTAATTTTATAGTTTGGCAATAACCTTGATTAACTGCTAAGATATCACCAAAGAAAGGCTTTCAACTAAATTTTCATAGTGAGATCAATCAAATGCAGGTTTTTCTTGCTATACTCAAAGTATACTTCCTTTTAAAGGCAACTCGTTGTTTTTAAGCACCCTCTGACAAATCTTAGGAAGTCTTCAAAGGTGAAAAAAAGAAACACAACAAACAGACTGGATGAAAATGGGAGAAATACATACTTTGAAGGTGAAATTGACATTTTAAATTTTAATATGAAAAATATTTTATTCCATGGAGGCAGTAAAATCTAAAATTACATTTAGTTTCTGGGTTCTTAGTACTATGAGAAGTTGTATTGAAGACAGACTTTGATAAAAGTGATGTGCTTACTTGTACAGAAAATAGTACATTCTGTTGGACTTATATAAGTGCTATTTCTATATTCCAAAGCAAATTTTTCTAGAGCCTATTATTTTTTTTCTTAAAAGGTAACTCTTCTCTTACTTCTCAGCAATTACTTTATCATTAGAATTTAGCCATACAGCCAAACTTGGCAAAATGGTTGTAGATCAAGAGCACATACACAGAGTTAAACACTCTCCTTAGCCCATTCTCCTTGGGAACTCATGCTGTGGACCACCGTTAAGGCAATAAAGTCAGTTAGGTCACCAGGTAAACCTCCTCAAATAGAATAAAAATGACTCACACTCTGCTACATATTCTGGTTTATCATGAGAAGTTTTGTTGGTTGTAGCATTTGCCAAAATGAGTGAGACTGCCATAACTTTAATTTCCTGGATGAGAAATACAGAAATGTGAAAGGCTGTTGTAGATGTACATCCCCACAGTACAGACCACAGCATAGCTGTTAGTGCTGGTTTGCAAAAGAATCGAAACATGTACATTGTACTAGAGACTTCGAAACCTTTCAAAGCACAAAGTAATTCTTTCTTGATTTACTTGATGTACCTAGTTCAGTAGTATTTTGATGGAAAAGCAGACTGAAAATTCCTTAAATACTCAAATAGACATCACAGGGTTTTTATAGTTTTCTTTTTCTTAAAATGGTGGCATCTTCCCCAATGATTTAAAAGTTACTCTCTTCCTAGTGTGAGGTATGTAGTCTTCAGAAATAGTGTGTTCACTTGCTGTCCCTGCATTTCCAAATAGAATGTAAACACTTGAGCACTCCCTTCTCAGACAGTTAAGAAGTTAAACTTAGATATACTTTACTTATTTGAAATGCTCATTAAAATGTATCTGTATACTTGTTATGCCCCTTTTCCTAGGGCTCAAAGGAGACATTTTTCAGAAATGCCTTTAATTTTAACTATCTTTAAATCTCGAATCAAGTGAAAACAGATGTATGTTAAATCCTGGGTTGCATTTTCTTCCATTTTTTCAGAGCTGCATGGAGTAAGAAAACTAATCTAGTACAATGAAGATTAAATATTTCTGGGCAATGTAGAGATCGTAAACAGATAATTTATCCATAGACGTCACATCAGTTCACTGGAGCAGGAGTTCTACACAATAAAAATGTCCTGAGTTCAGCTTAATGTTATTTGGGGTCGGTTTTCTTTCACTGTATATTTTAGAATGGGATGGGGGCCCAAGTGTCCTTATGAAGCTGTGGTCCATGACACGAGCTTGTGGGAGCACCGGTCATGCTGCGTTCCTGCATCTGGCACCACAACAGCAAGCGTCAGCTTTTAATAGAGTAGCCCTCATGTGAAGTAACACCATCATAGAATCTATTGTACAGTTATGTTGCTAATTTTCCTTTGAAATATAAAATATTTTAAGCTTTTTTTGTCAAAAGTGGTAACATCTTAATACGAATAAAAACCTTTTTGTGGTTGTAAGATTTAGCTTATAAATCATTCAAATTGAAGTGAAAGAATTACCAGGTCATTGTTAATGACTTAGTCTATTAAGAATATATGTATTTTTGTAAAGGAAAAGCACTTGTAGATATTTAATCAGTACAAGATATATGTCTGTTTTGCAGAAATAAAATGCTGCTTAGAGTCTCTTTAAATATTTTTTATTTTTGTGCTCAAATGTATTTTCTGTCAATCTATGGAATGTTCTGTACAAAGCTGTTATCGTTGTACTGTTGGGCTAGATACTTTTGTTTTTTAAAATCTGGACTTAGCCAAGTACATTTGACCATGTTAAAAATAGTATCTTTGTTATTAAAATTTTGATTGCATAACTGACTGTTGCCTGTCATCCTTAAACATTGGTAATTGTATATTGCAACCCCCATTATAAAGTCCATGAAGTACTACCTTAGCAAATCTTAGTGAAATTTGCCGAGTATTTAAGAGTAAAATATTTTCTAAAGATTCTTGAGCTGTTTAGTTTTAAGATGCCAGATGTCCCTCAAAGGGATATTTAAGGTGTGCCTAAGCATGTACACTTTTTTTTTTTTTAAGATTGATTGATTTATACAAGAACTGGGGTATAGGTCAGAGGTGCTGGAGGGTGAGAGAATTCACCAGAGAGCATAGGGAGCAGAACAGGCAGACGGACCGAAGACATTGCTGAGGGGAGCAGCAGGTGAGACAGTTAAGGTCTGCTGCACCATATGGCTATCCCCTCGGCCTGCCAGGAATCGAACCTGCGCTGCAAGGCTGCAGACAGCATCACAGTGCAGCGTTCAACCCGCTGCGCCACCTGGGAGGCCCAGCATGTACACTTTAGAACAATTCATTTTGTTAATCAAGTTCAAATAACCTTTTGAAATTAATTGGGAATCAAAGAAAAGCCCGAGTGAATTGAAAGACTGCTTCCTTCAACCAGTTAATAGCAGCTTTGTTTTATTAATACCTTCCTGTATTTTTGCCTCAGGAATTCTAGTTAGGCCAAAGACAGACATCCAAGTCTGGAAGACTGCAGAGATTCTTATCTCTGCCCCACTGTTATTTTGATTCTCCACCTGTGTTTCTTACCATTGTGATGCCAGGGAAGGAACCCAGGCCTTCAGTGGGGTATGGAAAGCAGCACCCTCACCCGCTGTAGATTGCTGCAGAATGGAAAAGAACAGGAAGGACTGTGCGGGAAGTGCTCAGAAATGTAGTGCACATACTTTTATCATGTCTTTGGCCAGAATTCACATGGCCACACCTAACCGAGGCCTCAGGGAAGGTGGGAGGACATAGTCAAACGGACTATGTCCCAAGCAGAAAAGTTTTGTGACCTGCTGCTCAGTCCCTGCCACACCTCCACTTGAGAAAAGGAGTCAGTTTACTCCATTCTTAAAAGAATTTGTCAGCACAGGCTCAGCTCTGATCTGTTCACTGGTTTATTAGGAAGGAGTGTTGTACTCCAGCTAGACCTAAGTAACTGAGGCTCCAGCCTGTGCTTTTTAGGTAGCAGAGGAATTTGTAGGGAATATTTTGCAGGTAGCCAGTTGGACCCTGCTTGACACCCAAGCCCCTGCCATGGATTTTGAAGTGCCAAGATTCCTACTGTCATAATCTACTGGAGAATCATTCACAGAAAGGAGAAACGAGGCAACAAATTATCACCACCAGCTTCCAGCAACCAAAGTCCTTTTCTTCCTACTAAGCCCAGTTCAGAGGGCCTAGGTAGATGACTTCTTACACAACAGCACTTGTGTCACAACCAGAAACTGGTGTTTGTCCTCCCATGATTGTGTCCCCACCCTCATACATGCACATTTTCCCATAGTAACTGGCACCCAGTAGACAAAATGTGGACACTCATCTGGTGGTGGTCCTCTTACAAGGACATCACTCATTTTGGATTAGCACGCTATCCTTACAACCTAATTTAATCATTATTACCTCTTTAAAAGCCCTGTCTCAAAGACAGTCACATTCTAAACTATTGGTGGTTAGGACTTCCACATACAAATTTGAGAGGCCTCTACAGACAGTTGTCAACTACATTCTGAATAATGTCCTTCCATTCATCTTTGAAGGAAGCCCAACCCAGTTATTTGAGGAACTGCTTTTGCTTAAAGACCAAGAACAGACATTAAGTAGAGTTCCTGCACTCTGCTCATGACAGAGCCACATGATGCCCTATACACCGGGGATCAAATGCAGGATCCTTCTGTTGTGCAACTTTGCTCAACTGACTGAGGCTCAGTTTCTTGGTTGGCCAAGTGAAACAATAAGATCCCATTGGTCTGTGGAGGAATGAAATGCCATAAAAGCGCTTGGAGCAATGCTGGCAGACACTAAGGACAACTCGGCATTTTCCATCTTGAGCAGGTCATCGCGGATTCGCAATGTACTGTTGATCCGTGTTCTTTGATTTGCTGTGCGCTAAAATGATGTCAACTAAATCTTGCTGACCCAGAGCTAGCCCAATCTCACAGTAGCTTGCAAAAATCTCTGAAGATGCTAGTGCACGCAGGACCAGCACAGACCGGAGCACATACACAAATGTCTTTCCTGTCACATCCATTTAATCATCAGACAGGCCTGTGAGGTAGCCATTCTTGGCATAAATTTAATGATGTAAACTCACAATCACCAGAGATGTATTCCAGGCCTCCAACACAGGCCTTTGACTTTCCAAGGGTGAGTCTGTTCTCAGGGGCACTGGCTCTGAGCTGAGAGAACAAGAGATCATGCTCAGGCCCTCCTGGCCACTCCATGATGAGTCATCTGGAGGATACACACTAAGATGACTCAGCTTACATGTCACCCCTGCAGTCAACACATCACTCTGAGCACCCCTGTATACCAGGCACTGTGGTAGGCTCTTGGGATATGGTGCTGAGCCAGATTCCACCCTCATGCTAATAGTTTCCAGGATGGGGGAGAAAAAGCCATTAAGCAAAATGACAAGAAAGAGTGACAAATGTTCTTAAGAAAATTCTATGAGAAAGAACAGGAGGTCCGGACCTTTCTAAGAAAATGACATGTCTATGGAGGCCTGAAAGATAAGCTATAGTGGATCAGGCAAAGAACAGGGAACGAGTATACCTGATAAAAGTAATAGTAAGAGCTCCATGCGGTGTAGCTACCTGCAGAAGGCCAGGTGTGCAGGCAGGGTGGGTGACAAGAGCAAGGGGAGAGGATTCTGGAGAAGACAGAGGCCAGGTAATGTAGATGCTTTCAGGTTCCGCTTAAAAGCTTGCATTTTGTTCTGAGCATATAGGATTTTAAACAGATGACTGATACCCTCTTATTTCTCTTTATAAACTGTCACTCTAGGAGCTTTGTGCACTGTTAAGGGGTAGGGACTAAAATAGAAATAGGAACAGGTTAAAAATTGAGAGCAATAATCCAGATAAGAAACAAAAGGACCCCAGACCAGTGCCAGTGGTACTCGAGATGAAAAAGTGACCACGGAGAAAAGTGGGTGTCTTTGTACATATCCACCCCCCATCCCAACCGCAGTACGTCTAAATTCAACGTAACCTATCTTTTGCCATCACACATGAAGTTCTAGATGGACCTGGGAAACTCAGACCAAGAGGGTGGGAGGAAGCCTTGAAACAGCCACACCCAAACTCCTAGTACTTCTTTAGGGAATCTGGAGCAGGGAGGATGCTGGTACAGGGCCAGGGAGATGGGTTCTTTTTGGAGTGGGTTGAGACCTCCCAAAAGGGTGGTCCACCAGCCACATCCAGGCCTGCTATCAGGGCTCCCACAGAGCCAGCTGTGAGCAGGCTGTCCTGCCAAGCCAACCCTGCCCCTAAAAAGGCCTCTGGTCATCCCTGGAGGCCCAGCCCCCAGCACCTGCTCTCCTCCCTCCCTGCCTTGGTCCTGACCTGCTCTCCCCAAAGCCCTCACCCACCCCTGTCCTGTCACAGGCACTGGAGCCAGAGAGCCCTGGGTGCCACCAATGAGTATCTGAGGGCTGGGTAAATTACATAATCTGTGCTCAATAGCGAATGAGACACTCATGTAAATGTGACATTAAATGAAAACTCATGAAATATAATTAAAACACCTACTTATTTAATTTGTGTCTCTCACAGTCCCCTTCCCCTGGATGGAATCGTCAGCAGTCCCAGGGACTTTCCAGCATATTTTAAATCACAAAACAGTCTCAATTCAGAAATGAGAATGTCCAATTCAACATTTTAATTAACACTTCACTATTCATTGCAGAGTTACACTTCCTCCCTGCTCCTAATTGGGGCTTGGAAAAGCTTCACCTTCCTTCCCAAAAGAGGGGGTCCATTTCCTTCTTCCTCCTTCCCTTCCCGGTTAGCAGGTAGTAAGTTGCCTCCAAGCAGTTGGGATCTCAGGGATCACTTAAAGCTCCCCTCTCTCAGCAATCTTTCTGGGCCCTTGGGCAGTAACACCTGCCAAGCCCTCCTGGGTGCTGTTGAAGCCCCACCCCCACTAGGTGAGGCAGGCCTCTCCGCCTCTGGCTTGAGGAATGGTTTTCACTCACTCCACAGAAAGCCTCTGCATAAATCCTCGCCCCTTAATTCCTGCAGGATTTCTTTGAAAATGTGAAGGGGAGTCCACCAGGAAGCCGGACACCCATTTATGATCACTGGGTAGGAGTGGGTTCCTCCCTCTGCCTTTCCCTCTATATCACGTCCCATTGAATAAAGTCCCCCAGCAAACATGCCTCCCACTCCAAGGTTGCCCCGCCAGTGGCCAGAGGACACAGTCCTTCAGCCACCCTACAGCAGGTGAAGAGAGACACGCCCACGCCCTGCCTTGTAGCGTCCGGTCCAGACTGATGGACCAAGGGCCTGGCGCCAGCCCAACCAGACTCTTTCAAAACACCTGCCTCCCTGGAAGCCAGGCTAGATGGAAGGGAGGGAAGTGCAGTCCTTTTAAACCAGCAGGGGCCAAAGCCACTGCTGTGTCTCAGCACACTGAGCTAGAGCAGAGTGGACTAGACAGGAAGCAAAACCAGGCTTCGAAGACCCCGACAATGCAGAGGGCTCCGACCCCCGACTATGGAGTTGGTGCCACCTGTTCTGGGCTGGTCAGTGCAACCTACTAGCATAAAACTGTTTTTATTTCTCAAGCTTCCTATGTGGAAGCAGTTGGGTGAACAGCTGCTAGAGGGGTGGAGGTGTGGGGGTGTTCTGGGAAGTTTTCCCATTTGGGCTGACCAACAAGTAAGATGGAAATGGCCCAAGAACAGAGTCTCGTACTGTTCTTAAACATGTGCTCCCAGAAGAGTGCCTTGAAGGAAGCTGTTTCCATCCCAGGCAACCTCGGAGATCTGACTGAGTGGTGTGGTGATGGGAGAAGGAGTTGAACCGAGAAGGG